TTTGTCAGGGCCTGAGATGAGGCAGATCATCATGGCAGAAGTGTGAGGCAGAGCAAAGCAGCTGGGAACATGGCACCAGGAAGCGGAGAGAGAGATCCCCTCAACAAGGACAAAATGTGTACCCCAAGGGTACCCAAGTACCCACCTTCTCCAGCCACACCCTACCTGCCTTCAGTTGCCACTTAGTTAATCCCTATCAGGAGATTAATACACTGATTAGGTTAAGGCTATAACCCAAWCATTTCACCTCTAAACTCTCCTGCATTTCCTCACATATTAGCTTTTGGGGCTCACCTCATATCTAAACCATAACATCCTAAAAAGAGGACTGAAGGTAGTCTACAGAGTTTACTCCAGCCACTGTGCACAAAATACACAAGGAAAGAAAATAACATGAAAGCAGGAGCAGGGTGGGCTCACAGCATGCCTGCATGACATGGTATCCAGCGCAGTTGCCTGAGGTGGCCCCAGTCCAACCCTGAGAGTCTTAGCACCAAAGAAAAGAGGCAAACTCAAGCAGCCCGGAGTTGGGAGTTGTGCTGTCCATCAGAGAAGAGCAAACCAGTCACTCAGGGCGGTTTTCTGGGGCCACTGAAAGCCTGCACACTTGTCCAGGAGTGGTTGGGTGGATTCTGCTTTGAAGGCTCGGGATAATATTCCTGCCATAAACACAGTGATTACTCATATTCAGCTATTCCCATGACATTGTAAAATGCCATTTTATGGCACTACAGTTCATCAAAATCACTCTTCCAAGAACTAGAGCACCCTGGTGCAGGCGCACACCTTTCTGCTGATCTAAAGTGATCCAAGAAGGGCATTACAAAAGGAAAGGAGGACCATTTCACAGCCTTGGTGATGAACATCCRTGAGGGCGATTTCTTACAACCTGGCCTTTAATAAGAATGCTAGTACTTAAGGGTTGAGGCGGTATTCTCTGGCAAGAATTTAAAGAGCAAAAATGCTGCAGGGTCAACTTGGGATAAATGTGTTACTTTTGGAAGTCCCCTGAGCAGGGAGACAGGATTAATATTTCCTCATTACAATTAACTAACCTGTTCACTTGATAGTACAGACCACAGCCTCCACCTGGAGGTATCCCAAGGAGAACATCCATGGGGAAAAATCATAATTTCCCCCAAAAAAGTCATTCTTGGGGGACACTAACTGAAGACAACAGGTGCTAAAAGATCCTACAGACCTACTCCATAGAGTAAGACAACAGCCATTTTAACCTAAAAAAAAAAAAAAATTTCAGGATAGATTCTATCAATCATCCCCCAAACAGGAAAACATACTTAGAAATTTATAAGAGCCCACCAAATGGCTAATTTTAAGGGATATCCCTTTTGACAATGCTTCCAAGAAGATTTAGATGAAAATAAACTTCTTGGCCATGGAGAATCTATCAAGAGAAATTGACAGAAGGACCACTATAAATGTTATGCATCATTTGAATATAATCTAAAAATACTGTTTGAGTCTTCCCTGCCCCATTCGTTCCAGCTTAGACTTGTATTCCCTTATTTTATCTTTCTATCTTTCTTTTTTATTTATTTTTTATTGGTTGTTCACAACATTACAAAGCTCTTGACATATCATATTTCATACATTAGATTCAAGTGGGTTATGAACTCCTAATTTTTACCCCAAATGCAGATTGCAGAATCACGTCGGTTACACATCCACAATTTTACATAATGCCCTATGGCAAATGGGTACCTTGCCAGCACTAGTTATAGGTGACTATCTTTTTAGATACATATTCTCATGTCCTATATGTACTCATAATAAAAGGATGTTCTGGCCAGTAAGGGCTAAGGAGGGGCATAAAAAGTCAAGGACCTGGTCCCAAGCTCTGCAGGCTGTTGTTTATCTAGTGCAGTATTCAATATGGCAAACATCAGTGACGTCAGCCCAGAGTGAGAAATCATGGGAGATAAAACCTGAAATGGAGACACCTTTCAACCTAGATTGTGAAGTTGGTAATGATGTGATATAAACTGTAAGTATTGATTGGATGAAAAGTGCCACAAAAAAATGTAAGGGGATACTCACATCCTCTGGGGCCCCAAGTTTCTTAACTCCGTTCAGTTCAACAAACCTTGATGTATAGCCAAGCCCTGTGTGAGAGGTGGAGGGTTAAGAGAGAATCAAGCATGGGCCTTGTCCTCAAGGAGCTGCTTCAAACAAGAGTCATTGGAGCTCTGTAACAGTGCCTGCTTGGAGCCCTGGTCTTTCTTTGACATGTTTTGATATGTCCCCTCAAAACCCCCATGCCCAGGAGGAGAGAGAGCAAACTTCTTTCCAGGAAAGACACCAACATTGAGACACAGCAGCTGGAAATTGGCAGGGTGCCCTTAGAAGACTGAGGAAGTAATTTATTTTTCCAGCTTCGCCACAGGAACTGAAGCCCGGGCATATGCCTCCATGTGTCAGCAGTGGCTGATCGGAGTGAGATCATTCTTAATTATTAGTCACTTTTGAGTGTCTTCCTCCAAAACTGTGGAGTACTTGGGAAGCCAGACCCTCTTGAGTTGTAATCAATACTGTATACACCTTGCCCAGGAACCTGCCTGGCATGTAATTATAAAACAGTATTGATTCCTGGCAGAGGGGTTGAAAATGTACAAATTCTTCACCAAAAAAAAAAAAGCTAAATCTTCAGAAGGCTTAATTTTTCTCCCTCAAGAAAGAGACCAATGGTTGGAGTTCAAAAAAAAAACAACTTGAAATATTAGATAAATTAGGGCTATTTCCTGCCAGGAGACAGATCTGTACACATAATTATTTTATTCTCTGGGCTGGCACTGATTCACTTCTGTTGAGTSTTGGAAACGTCTCTGTTTTGGGTCTGTAATCCAAATTATTCAGTCGGTTCCTATGATGATGTTTTCTCCGTGTGTCCTCCAGTGTTGTTTTTCTATAAAACAAATAATTGCTTGTCTGGTACCAATGAGTTCCTGCTTTTCCAGCTCTTCTTTGTCGTACCATCTAGTATGCCCCATGGCCAGGAGCTCCACCCTCTCAAACATGCCCATCATCACCAAATTCTGCCCATTTAATTTTGGCTGGTTTCTGATTTCTGCTTCTCAGTTGGCATCCACTGCAGTCCTATTCGAGTGACTGGAATCTGGATAGGTTTCAGTCTTCCTTCCTTTTGGCCGCATCTCCAAAGGCGGTCTTTGTGAAACACCCTCACAGCCTGCCTTTGCTACCTCCTCCATGCCCCGTCACCTCCTACCTCACCCAGAGAAAGTCTTCTTACTGCCTTTCATCTTCCAGCCTGGCCCCTTCCCACGGCTGTTGGGGTYGTTTTGAAAATGCACATCTGATCGTGTCATTTGGCTGCAGCAAGCCCTCGCTCCAGTGGCTCCCTGTTACCTGTAATCTAAGATGGACAACTGCTCACCAATCTGGAAATGATAGATGTTGACTCTCAATGATGCAGCTTACCTCCCAAGACCCAGAGGTTCCCGGAAGATGGCAGATATGGAGGACTGCAGTGAGGGCTACAGTGGGAAAGTTGCTTTGGGGGCTTCTTGGCATTTTGAGTATCTGTGGTTGGCTTAGCTGGGGCTTCGACAGTGAGCTTTTGCTCAAGGCTCCTTCTCTGGTTGTGCAGAGCTGGCTTGTCAGTGTGAGATGGTTATGATCCACTCTGTCCCAGGAACCTCATGCCYCCATAGCCACACGGTGAAGGGTCCTTGAGAATCTCTCAAGGGAGTGGGCCCCTTGGTCTGTTCCTTCTGAACCTTGTATTTAAAGAACAAATCTCAGTGCCACTACAGTGATCTGACACAAAAGGCCTGTAGCCTTTCTCAGATGGGTGCTGAGGACATGTTGTATGGGGAAATACTTGGTTTTGTGTGACAGTCCTATGCACTGCAACATTTTTGGCATTTCTGGCCCCTCATAGTAAATGCCAATCATGTTCCTCAGTCACTGGGACAACCTGAAAAAAAAAAACCCTCCCATGCCCCCACAGTTCTGTATGACCAGATATGGGTAACAGTACCACCCCCACTTGAGAACCATCAGCTCCTATAACCACTTGGCTTCATTGGAACTTCCCCTAAAATGTTCTCTTTTCTGAGAGTACAATGAATGGCCAGATCTTTCTTTTCCCTTCATCTGATACAATGTTAAGAGCTTAGATGCTGGTGACACATTGCTGACTTTGAAATCAAGCTCCACTATTTAAGGGCCATGACCTTGAACAAGGGCATGACCTTGAACAATTACTTAAACTCCCTGTTCCTCAGTTTTCCCCTATAAAATGGGGATAATAGTATAATATTTAACTCCGAAGACCTGTGAAGATTAAATAAAGCATCTAAGGCACTTATCCCACTGTCCAGTATCACGGGCTCGGTAGTGGTTTGAGATAATGACTGTCAGTGATCATGATGATGTCCCTGAGCATAAGGTTTTACTGTGAGAGAAGTAGAAGTTAATGCTTACAAAGGAATAATTCTAAAAACAGAGGCAGCTTGATATACGAGAGTCTTGGCCTGGGTGGGACTTAATAAGTTTTGTTCCCCCTTAGCCATTAGTGTTACTGGTTACTGTATAGTCTTGAATGTGCCCTTCACTCCTCTGGTTCTTAGATTCTCTATAAAATATTTCTGTTTTGTCGTGTCAAAAAGATCGAATGACATAGCACAGTAGAAAATCCTGTGAATAGTTTGATGATAGGTAATAAGCAGCTGTCAAGCCTTGGCCTTTCCTAGCCCTGGTTTGAAAACCCACCCACTCCTGGGAAAGCACATAACAGGAACTCCTTGGCGAGAGTCCTCTCTCATGGTAAATGGCAGGTGTTCTGCATGACCCCCTTCCTGCCCTGTGCCCCCAATAGCCCAGGACACACAGAGCCTTGGAGCAGTCGGCATCTCTCCCTAGGTGCTCAAGTCCATGTCCAGGAGGTTTCTTACAGCACACCCTGCCCCCTCCCAGCTCGTGTCCACTGACATCATGGTTGTCTGCTTGTGGCCCCACAGCAACAAAGGCGAGAGAAGGAACTGAGGAAGCAGCAGGAGAGGGAGCAGCGCCGGCACTACGAGGAGCAGATGCGCCGGGAGGAGGAGAGGAGGCGGGCGGAACATGAGCAGGTAACATGCAGCAGGATGGGAGTTCCAGGCTTGGTCCCCATGTGACCACCACGTGTCTCTCATGTTGTGGGTCACCTGCTCCTGGACTCTTGGTTAAGGTTTTTATTCTTTCTCCAGCAACTGTTCTCACCTATTCAAAAAGTCAAAAGCACAGCCTTGGCAATGGCCATTGGTTCAGTCTTGCTCCCTACCCAGGCCAGAGTCCCCTGACATGTCTGGGTCTTCAGATTCACAGCCCTGGGGATCTGATGGGAAGGTAGCACTGAAGCATGAAAAACAAACCAAGCCCTACTCCTCCAGTGCTTGAGGGGAAGTTTTCCTCTCTTGTACTCCCTGTGCATCGATTCAGACCCCTCTCTTTGCTAGAATCGTATACTGATAGCAAGTGAGCCTGCAGGAGGATTCCATTGCAAAGAYGGTGCATGATGGCATTTCACAATTGTTTTACACCTGCTGCTTGCACAAGAGCCTTAGAACTTTATAGCATTGTTAATTCTGGGTACTCCATAAAGRGAGGAACCTGGAATGGAAAACTTTTAAAATGTAACTGTGGGTTTATTAAAACCAAGTAGTAACAGTAAAATGCCAAGCCATCTCAGTCAGCTGTTGTAGGCAGAGGGCTGGTGCTTMTGACTATGTTGAAAGGCTTTGGCTTTGGCTTGGCAAACTCTTCCTGTTTGTTAAGGGTGTTGGGTATTTTTTTCCCCTCCTTCTTTCTGTACTTTTCTTGCAGCACTTGTCACCTTTGAAATTACTGGTTCTTTTTCTCTCTCTTTCTTTCTTTCTCTTCCTCCGAATTCTCTGCTGCCTACCTCTCCAGGAATACATCAGGCGACAGTTAGAGGAGGAGCAAAGACAGTTAGAGATCTTGCAGCAGCAGCTACTGCATGAACAAGCTCTACTTCTGGTAATGGGAAAGCCACGAGCCAGCTGTCCTGCTCTGTATTCATTGTGTGTGTGTGTGTGTGTATGTGTGTGTGTGTGTGTGTGTGTGTGCGCTCGCGCGCAGTTCCAAAGAAGGTGCTGGGCATGGTGACACTTGTCTATAATCCCAGCTCCTTGGGAGGTCAAGGCAGGAGGACTGCAAGTTTGAAGCCAATCTCAGCAACTTAGCAAGCACAGACTGCTAAGGGCCAGGGATATAGTTCAGTGGTAAAGCACCCCAGTRTCCTACCAATAAAAGGAGGGGGGCAGTTCTCCAAGCCTTGAAGACCGGAAAATCTCACAGAAACTTAATGCATTTCCTGACCCAATTTGCCGAGGCCTAATACTTTTAATACAATTGTTATGCATTCTTTATTAAATCCATCTATTTGTGAAACTCTAACATGAATCCAGCCTTATTATAAGTTCAGACTGCTTTTGAGACCYACTGTGTTTATTGCAGAGTAATTTTTGAGACCATTTGCACCATGCTGGAATACAATCACAGCAAAATGCACCTTTTCCCTAAGAACCCACTCTGCTCTGCAGTCATATTTCATTTGCAGACTATTAGTTTTACCCTTATGATGGGAACATTTTGTGTTCCCTGCTCATGCGGTGTCCACTTGAACTACTTTTTTTTATTATTATTGCATTGCTTTCCAAATGGGCTGCTTGGTGTATTTTTTTTTTAACTGAACTGATATTTTTTAGCCTGTACTTAAGCTTGCTAATGACTTTTGTTCGTCTAAGTTTTATTAAACAAAAGATGATTTAGGTTTATTTTTAGTTCTGTACTTAACTATGCATGTTTGAATGATTTAATYACTAAATTAGGAAGTGGTTGGCTACTTATGGAGGTTGTGTGCTGACCATCCAACTGTCCTTGTTACTGCCATTTTCTTGGTTGCAATTCATCAGGGACAAGTCACTTTGAGTGTGGTGGTAGTTTGTAGGATTGCCACTAAAATGACAGTCTTCTCCTTAAATGACACATTCTTGTGTGGATACTAACCCAAAACTGGAGTTTATTTCTGTACATACCTGACATCCTCCTGTATTTCTATTAATGTGTAAGGTCCTTTGTTGCTTAGATTTTTGCATCACTGCATGCTTCATCACTACTGCCCAGTGGTTTTTCCTGGGATGATYTGGCCTTTTTTTTTTTTTTTWAACTCATCTTTCCTGGTCTGGGCAGGAGTATAAGCGCAAACAATTGGAAGAACAGAGACAAGCAGAAAGACTGCAAAGACAGCTTAAGCAAGAGAGAGACTACTTGGTTTCTCTTCAGCATCAGCGTCAGGAGCAGAGACCCATAGAGAAGAAGCCACTGTACCACTACAAAGAAGGGATCAGCCCCAGTGAGAAGCCAGCGTGGGCCAAGGAGGTAAGTAAGCAAGGGTAGCCATGCCCTCCAGCCAGGCTTTCCCCTGCACGAGTGCATCCCTCAGAAGTGCAGAATCCCGCTCCATGCCATAGTTGGAAGACAGCTCATCACAGGACACAATTTTTGCCACTGGAAGAACCACAACATCCTTTCTGTAGAGAAATAGCCAGGCATCTTCCTCTGCTGTGGTTCTATTTTGTATGTGTGTCTTTGTGGTCATACTGGGGTTTTGTAAGTAAAACAGGAAGTAGAAAAATACTTTTCCTTATATGAGTCCAGCTGAAGTTATAGCAGAAGGAATTTTTTTTTTTTTTTTTTTACTGATTTCTCCTTGGAAGAGTGGGATTAGGGCTTGGGAGATTGTGGGCAAACTCATTTACTGTCTGTACCTGGAGCCTGGACAACACGTGGGTATTGTCATTATACTACCCTGTTCATTGTGCAACAGCGGGCGCACAATGGAAGTCACTCATAGTTATCCAGTAGTTCCAAAGTAATGGTCCTGAATTTGCTCTACGACTAGAGTAAGGGAGGGTTTTTAGCAACTTAGTTCTGTGATGAGCTGGTTTAAAAATGTGATTAAAAAAAAAAAAAAAACAACTGTTTGGATCAGAGAGGGAAAAAAGGGTGATAACGAAATGGGTAAAGGAAACAAACAAAATACTAGCTGTAGCCAAGATCAGCCACTGCTCAGGGAGCCACTGTGTCTGCTCCTGTACATGACACCCTGGTTTTCAGTTGTTATTACTTGTGGCACCTAGTGACTTCCTTTATTTTCTTGTGAGCATAGCTTGTCACTTAAAAGGATGTTTTGGCTTACTTTGTATTTTTATCTAACTTCTTTAGATATTTATAGCTAGAATTTTTTTTTCAAATTATCTAGACAACAATATTACCAGAACTAGATTTCTTATATAAGATCCTGTTTTTATAAAAACAGTTCTTTTTGTTTTTCTAACCTATTTTACCTGTATACAAGAAATGCTGAAAATGATATCTTGATGTTAATTATGGTGGTTAATGGAAGGTGGAAATGTTTTTAAAAACTGAATTTTTCTTTTAAACTTTTTTGTGGTTCCATATCTTCTTAAAATCCCTCATGATTATCATGCATTATTACAAAATAACTTTTATCTTTAAAATCTTTAAAAAATTAAGTCCGTACAGAAGATTAGTTTTGACGAGGGGAAGTATATTTTTCATCGCTTTCCTTTAACATTTGTAAACATGATCCATATTTATCTCTATCTGTAACAGCTACTCTTTCTCTTAGATCAGTAACTCAGTTTTGTAATCCTACTCCCAGGTACAGCAACGACCCCTTAATAATCCACCTGTTCTTCCACCTAAGCAGAATCACTATGCTGCTAAACAGCAGCTGACACGCTTCCTGGCTGGCAGAGGTGTGCCATCTTCCTCCACTGCCAAACTAYTTTCTAGCCATGCCAAGTCAAAAGCTCCAGCTAGACCAGACTCACAGAGCCTGACTGTGGCAGGTATTCAGAAAGCTGAAAAACTGACCTCCACAAAGTTAATGCCAGTAGCACCCACAGGAATTCATGATTCCAGATCAAGACTCCTGTTTCAGCGTCGCTCATGGAAGAAAGATGGATCAGCAGCTTGCCCTATTAGACGTGGTTTGGAAGAACAACTGAAACCTCAGGAAACCTCAAGGACTGGAGGGAGATGGCCAAAGCAATCTCGCTCCCAAGGATGTAGCCCAACTCAAGATTTAGAGTCTAAGGTCATTTCTGCGTCCTCTCCTAACATCTCCAAAATGACAAGTCCCCAGATGCCCATTAGGGCAATTAAGGAGGGCCTTAGACACTCCCATGGACCTCAGGAAAGGAGGGGCATGAATTCCTATGTCTTTACTCTCCTAAGAAATGCTGCATCACTAAATGACTTCTCCTTGATGCATGACCACCAGGCCTTCAGTGTTCCCAGCTCTAAGCATGACTTTAGAAAACAGACACCTGCAGATTCCATCCAAGAGGACTGTGATTCCTTGCAAAGCATCCCAGAATTCCTTCTTTCCCCTAGGCAGCTCCCTCATGCACAAATGCACCAGAAAAGATGGGACAGCATGGAGCAGTTTCCATTTCCTCCCTTCGGCCTCTACCCAGTCTATTCTGATTTGAACTTGACCACTTTAGCTTCATTGTTTTCTGGGTGCTGTTTGTCCTCATCATTAAACTTCCTGGCCTGTCCTCTCTATTCAGAACAAGTTCACAGTTCCCAAGCTTTCAGGAGCCCTGGCATCCCTGGGGACAAGTTTCTGMAGATGTCATCGAGGCCATTTTCTAGACCTCCTAATTTCCCTATGCTTCCTAGCCAGGCTCCTAGCAGGAAGAGAAACCTCGCTGCTGGGCGTGCAAACGGCATGGCTGTGTCATCAAGCACTCCTGATGTGAGGGTCCTTGGCCAGCCTAAGTCTGTGCCACCTCTGGTGGGTGACATCTTCCAAGGTCCCTGGCTTCCCAGTCCCCTGGTATTCCTCCTTTGGGCTTCATGCACTTCCAGACACATGTGGGGAATCCTTTGGGAGTTTCACATGTAATCCTCTCCTCCTGGGTGTGGTTAACATACTCCAGCTTYCAATTAACCCTGCATCTAGTCATCAAACTATTCCCAAGTCCTAGAGTGGGTGATTATATTTTAGAAGAAATAAAATTATTTAGATGGTAAAAAGTGACAGTGCTAAATTTGGGACTGAAGCAACTAGTATACAAATCAGAGCCTTCTTTGGTTTGACTCATCATTTTTTGAACACCCGATTTCGTTAAATTGGGAATAAAATGAACATGAGAATTCTTATCTTCTTGATCTTGTAATGCTTCTCATCAGCCATGTACGAACGTTTCTTCTAATTCATTATTTTCAGATCTCATTTCTTATACTAGGAAGGAGAGTGGGGCTCAAAGTAGCCAAACAATAACATGCCTCAAGACTTGAAATATGAACAGAATTTATAGCTTAGTGTTTTAACTATTGYCTGATAAGAAAACTTGGGTTAAACTCTCTGGAGGTAAAGAGAACTTTTCAAGTGCATCTTCTGTCAGGATATAAATTTGAAGACATCCTCAGCAGTGAAGAGCAGGCAGCTGTGCCCAYGCCACTGTCTCCTGTGACATGGGGTCTGGACATTTTCGGCCCTTGTGCTAAGGAAGACACTACCCAGCCATCTCTACCCACTTGCAACCTCTTCATTAATCAGCTCCAGCATGTTTCCTAACTCAGCTCTGAAGCTTCTTGTTGGATATTTTTTTCATCTTTGATGACCCTTCCATCCACTTCTTCTCTTGCTCATTGCAGAGCAGCCGTTTTTCATTGGTATTATAGTGTTGTCACGCTTCATCCTCTTTGTCTTCATTCTTCATTTTGTGAAAGAGAAGTGATCATTGCATCTCATTATCTTTCCCACTTCTTACTGGATACGCTCTGAGCAAATGAAAATGCTTGATCGTTTACAAATCGTGTTGTGCTCTTCCTTCCCTCCTTTTCCTGAGTATTCCATCTGTCCTGAATGTCACATTGGCTTTGCTTTTCAGATTTCAGCCAGGAAGGAAGTTGTCTCTGAATTAAAAGAATAGGGATGGTCATGCCCCCCATCCTGCACCTGCTTTCAAATTCTGTACTATTTCTGGATTGGGATGAAAGTCAGACTTGTTCTGTGAAAACAGAAGCATGATGTTCTGTTGAACCTCAGGAAAATTTGAAGGTCTTTTTTTTCTCATTTTTTGGACCTTGGGATTCCTTTTTTTTTTTTTTTCTGCTGTACCTTAAAATGGCATGTGATAGTCTGGGCCTGGTAGTAACTCTGTAGCACCCCCCTTCCTTCCCCAAATACATAAAAAAAAAAAAATTGCCCTCACACCCAACAGTGACAGAATGCTCTGTTTCCATAGTGTTRCACGAGATAGTATTTTAATTTTTTTTAACACTCCATCATGTTCTCTCTCCGCCATGCGTGTCAGTCATCTGGCTATAGTTTTATTTGGCAAACAATGATCTGATCAGGGCCAAGATAGCTTTTTATTTCCCATCATCCCATTGGACCTTGAAATCTCTATATAAAAACTTCTACACTTGGATCTCTCTGTTGTGCACTGATTTTTTTTTCCATTTTTATATGAGTTACTTTATATATGAGGTTTCCAAATTATGAGTGTTTGCAGCTCTGCTTTTTTTGTTCTTCAGTTTCTGCTTATATTTCTTAAGATTTGACATAAAAGAAACCTGGACCCAAATAGTAGGGAGCACCTTTGAGTTTATGTTCTTCCATTTCCTTGCAGTGTGGCCTGGGCAAGTCTTGGGGCCTTCCTGAGATGCACTTCCTGGGCACCTCCAGCCTCACAGTTAGAAGGATCAGGGAAGTCTCATGTGTCTGTTGACACTGAAACTCTGGTACCAATGCAAATMAAGTATGGATTCTCATTTAATTCCCAAGGCCACTGCAACCACAAGGAATGTTTTGTCTTTGTTGTTTCTGATTTGGATTTCACGTGACTGATTCACATGCATCTCTATCACCTCACTCACCTCTCCCCAGTAATAGATAAGCACTTTGCTAAGGACTTGCTTCACTACTTTTAAGTTATGTGCTCCTTTCAAGTGGGATCTGTACTTTTTCTTGGAATATTCGTTATGAGTGGACCTTAGAAAAGTCTTTCTAGCCCTTATCTTCAGACAAGATTGCATTTTAAACATTCCACAGGAATGAGAGTCTCTCCTATGCTCAAAGGTGCCCTGGAGAAGAGAGGATCCTTCTTGCCCAGTAAACATCTGCCTCGTGGTTTTGCCAAAGAACCATATGACTCACCCTTTATGTGCTGGTGAGCACAGGGTCAAAGTATCTAATGAGCCCTTAGAAGTTATTTATTGACTTTTTTCCCTTTATCTAGCATTGCCAGTAAAATACAGAAAACACATTATTTTGTTAAGAGAAAAAAAATTCTCATACAATTATGCTGAATTTAGCAATTAAGTAAAACCTTCTAAGGCTTGTGTAGACCCAGTGTAACCAACATCATATAAAATATTATGAAAATGACTTAAATATATTTAACTGTCTGCATGTTTGAAACTACTTCTATCATTTTGTTTAGAAAACCTCAAAAAATATTCATTATTGTGAAGTGAAACAATCTACAGACTGTTTTCAAATATACAAGCCAGTTTGATAATTGATATTGTTAGAATGTTTCTCCTCTACATGTTTAAACATTTTTATTTATTTTGAAGTTGTTTTATGACTCTTGGAATCAACAAATTTACTTTTAGCTGGGCATAGTAGTGCACGCCTATAATCCCAGTGACTCTGGAGGCTGAAACMGGAGATCACAAGTTCAGAGCCAGCCTCAGCATCTTAACGAGGCCCTAAGCAACTCAGCAAAACCCTGTCTCTAAATAAAATATGAGAAAATGGGATCCTGGGGGCTGGGGATGTGGCTCAGTGGTTAAGTGCCCCTGAGTTCAATTCCCAATACCCTCCCAAAAAAGTTACTTTTTGATCTTCTATATTTGTGTAGCCTTTCTGCATCTCATAGGCCTTGTCTGGCACCCCCATAGTGCCCAGTGGACAGCTCAAYCCTTCCTGAAGTGGAATTGTATTTCTGAGACCAGTTTTTTCTTTCTCTTTATAAGGCTATAGTAAATAGTATAGTATTTTTGCAGAGGTAATCCAAGTCTCTTTAAAGTTATTTTATTTTACATGGTAAAATGATTCTTTTAATAAGAAAAAGAAGTTGCTTTGATAGTGAAATTTGATCAATCTCTGCTAATCCTGTGCTCTGTGTTCATGGTAATCCCGTCAAYGAGAAACCTTTTGTAACAGGTTTTTGTTGTTATCATCTAGAACCTGGACATGCTATCAGAATTACTAGAAATCTCTTTTGGGTAATGTTCCTGATATTTTACGTCTTGGCAACAGGAGTTGCAGCAGATGCTCTGCTACTAGAATTTTCTGAGTATCCTCAGGCAGATTGAAACATATCTTGATTGTGCCCCAGTTTTTAATCACATATAAGCTTATTCTAGGCAGAGGGGACCTGTTTCTTTTTTTGTCTCTTTCTCATATCTATCTCTAATTAGTAGACATACGTTGTCATAAGAGGCCTTTTTGCCTGGTCTCAATATATTCAGAAGGACCATCTTCTAAATATACTATCYAGCTTTCCCTCTGAAGCACCATTTCCAGTGTTTGTTTTTGGTATCTTTGCTCCAATTCTTCAGGTGATCCTTTGGTGCAAGCTCTGTGCAGCATTGCCTTCCCAAACACCTTAAGACAAGATTTTCTTGAGGTAAAATGTGTAGCCAGATACCTTATTATTACAGCCTTCTCATAGATTTTTCAAGTTTCTTTGGACACACTCAATTCCAGGAAATTACAGCACACTGTACCCATCCTGAAATAATTTTTAAAGTGTAACAAATTGTTATTTAGACCATACCTTTTAGAATGCTATGCCTGGAACATATTAATGGTAGAATTTAGTCCATAAACTAAGTGAGAGAAAGCATAGGAAATTCTTCTAGAAGTGCATTAGTAACATTTGCACACAACAATCAAATCCATTAACTGCCTGTGAAAATCAGCACCCAACTTTCTGCCCTGTTTGTTTTCTAGTGTAGTTTTAGACCCCCGGGTGGCCTGTGGGTCTATAAGCAGGAACACTTATTTTACTGGAAGCTTTCTGCTGTCATTGGTTAAAGGAATTCTTTATCTCAAARGTGATTTCTTTGCTCAAGATGGAGTCTTGGAGGCAGACTTTTCTACTATTGCTTTTTAAAGTGCTGYGTCTTAGTGTGTATTTTAAACTAAATGTATTTTACAGTTAAAAATAATATTAATTACAAGTATCCCCTCACTCTGAATACATTTGGTTTCTGAATTTGGGATAACAGGTGGGTAGAGTGCAGACAGCCAGGTGTTCATCTGATGTGTGTCTGAAATTCTTGGGTTCCTGAGCTCAGACATAAATGGTTTGTATAGTAAAGAGTTCAGATGTTAAGAGGGACTTGTAGGGATAATCAACCTGTATTTCCAAGTAACACATGTTCTGGATTTTGAATTTAATAAAGAGAGATTAATGTCTGTAAAAAAAAAAAAGAGGGACTTGTACCTGTCATTCATCTATTAACAATATTCCCTGGACATAAGAAAATGGCTGATATTTGACTAATTCCAGTGGTCTAGAAATATTCGCCTTCTTTTCCAGGTGTCTAGCATTTGGAAAGCAGTATGTTACACGCCTTCGTCTCACTTTATGTATTGCTGTCACTGTGGGATTCTTTCCTCTTTGTGGTCTTGTATCAGGGTTGCTTTATTCTTTTGCTCGATGCAATCATCAAATAATGATTGCTGATATAATACTTGGTATGCATGCACACATGAAGTATACCAGTTCTGGTTTATATTCCTGGCTTTTTGCAGCTAATCTCATTTGGTGTGTGGTGAGTTTGTGGGACATGGAATCTCAAAACTCAAGCCAACTGGATGCAACTGTATGTTCCCTGCACAGCCATGGTGGGAGATGAGACGTTCTAATTACCCCCTTAGTGGGGCAGAAGGGTTCTTTCCTATTGGCTTATCTTACCATGTTTAAACATTAGCAAACTTATTTTGTATATGAGACGGAGTCTGCCTCTAGAAAGATCCAAAATGGGGCAAGGGATGGGAAAGAACAGCATTTTTGAAGTTTTACTTCAAATCAAGGAGTAAAATGAATAACATGGTACAACTGTGCAGACAGAACTGAATACTGAGTCAGCAAAAGAGAACTAATTGCCCAGTCTGAGGAGTCATCAGGGAGAGGAGAAGGGCAGCATTGCCCTGGCARGTTTGGGAAGCTGGACAATTAGCTTGACCCTGAAGAAATATAGGAGATAAAGATGGGGAAAGACAGATCTGAAAGGAAAAACTGAGGCCTCTTGAAGTTGTGTAAGATCTTACATCATGTCTCACAGTATATGTCTAAAAATCAAAAATTTTCTTCAAGATTATCCTCTGCGATAGTCATTCTGCCCTAAATATGTACTGTGGGGTAACTGAACCTTCCCTGTGAAGAGCCTGAGGTCTGTTCCCTGCTTTGGGCTGAAAGAGACCCTAGATGATAGGGAATGACAAGAGAATGAAGTGGCCTGAGAGGATAGGGCTGGAGGAGAGAGAGGGGGAGTGGAGGCAAGGACATTGCCACGTGTGGAGAGCAGAGGGGAGGAGGGGAGAGCAAGGCAGGGGAGGCCATGCTGGGAATGGAAAGAATGAGGAGCAGCAGCATATTTTAGGGAGCAGGGAGGGACCATTGAAGAGAAAAAGCCCTAAAGAGAGAAAAAGAAAATGATACAGGGAGTCTGTTTAAGACAGGCGGTGCTCATTAAGGGGGCAGCCTGGAACACCCACATGCCTATCAGAAGCGTGTGAAGAAGTACAGGGTTCATGGACTCAACTTCACTCTCTGCCAGCCCTCCCCATGGTTCTTTCCCTCCTCGTCCCATGAGTCAACCCAACCCAAGTTTCTATTTTCTCCCAAGCAATCTTAATGCCTCGTACAGTTCCCTTTGATCATCTAGGGTGCAGACTGTCTCCCTGGCTAACCCCAAGGCTTTGTGACCAACCTGCAAGATATTATTCCAATCAATGTAAGATAAGCTCTTAGTAGGCTCAGCTAACTGCAATAATACAAGGTAACGGGTTATGGCTCAGAGTTCTGCACTTTTTTGTTTTTTGTTATTTTTGGTGCCATAGTGTTTGCTCACATTTTAAAAAAATTAAATTAAAGCTTTCTGCAAATTTTTGAGGCAGAGCAGAAAGGAAGACTCATGGCTCTTTGAATTGATCAGAGGGACACAAAAATGGCTGTGCAGGTGACTACAGAAAATCCTTACTGGGAATTAATTAACTTCTATCCATTGAGGCTCTCTTTTCCTTTGGCTTCTAGGTAGAAGAACGGTCAAGGCTGAACCGACAGAGTTCACCTGCCATGCCTCACAAGGTTGCCAACAGGATATCTGACCCCAATCTGCCCCCGAGGTCTGAGTCCTTCAGCATTAGTGGGGTTCAGCCTGCTCGGACACCCCCTATGCTCAGACCTGTTGATCCCCAGGTATAATCTCTTTTTTATTTCACTGGGCATTAGGATGTATGATAAAACTCAGTAAAAGCCCAGGGGAGCCGCTGGGACTATGGCTCAGTGGTAGRGCACTTTCCTAGCATGTGTGAGGCACTGGGTTCAACCCTCAGCACCACATATAAACAAATAAAATAATGGTATAAAAAATACTACAAAAACAACATCAACAAAAAGCCCACGGGATTATAAAATGGATTTAGGCATAGGAGTAGTCAAATGACAACCCTTAATGTCAAAGTTATATAGCAACATAGAAAGTTCCACTGAATTTGAAGGATAGAGGAAAGAATGAGAAAGGAAAAAGCACCACCCTTCACTTGGAGTCAACCACACCATTCCTTCTTGGTAAACTGGCTCCTCTGAAGACTCCTAAGAGTTTTGCAAGGTGAGGACAAAAATCTTTTTGGTTATAATTACCAAGACTAAAATTCCTATAGACCTTTGAGGTCTACACACACACACACACACAGCCTTTTGTTTCTCGGTATTTTGCACTGGAGTCTGAACCTAGAAAAATTAAATGAACTTGGCATAGTAAAACGGAGTCTTCTAAGCCAGCCGTTTCCCCCAGCAAGCTTACCCCCCAACGGCTTCAGCATCACCCAGGAACTAAAGAAATGCAGAACGTCCAGCCCCACTCAGCACCTTGGGTGGGGCCTGGCAGTGTATGATTTAACAAGACTTCCAAGTGATTCTGCTGCCTTTAGAGTCTGCAAACCACTGTCTTAAGCAACTCAGTGAGGAAAAGAGATTATTTCACTTTTAGGAAAGGAGAAAATTTCTSGAAGCTCTAGAGGACTTTTAAATTAAATACGCCTGAAATGGAATATGAAGTGAAACAGAGTTTGGAATTCCATAGAAAGATATAGGTAATGCAGCTTTTTACACCTGTCTAGAGTTTCTTCCAGGCATCCACCTGTGTTAGGACTTTCCACAATGTATTTTAAGGTCACTTTTGAAATATGGAATACTATCTGAACAGGAGTTCAAAGAGCAGTGATAAAATCAAGTATTCTTTGTGATTTAAGTTCACCTCTAATCGATGGCATCCAAGATTTTTGAGAGTCAGCCAGCTCAACATAGCTTCTTCTGGGTTGTTTTTCTATGTACATAATTTTTTTTATGCCTATCTTCAAAAGGATACATTTTTTTACAAGAACTTCTCTTTTAAAACCCCCAACTCTGACCTTATAAGGTTTATTTTTCCCCCCTGGGAGTTTAGGGAGTTTAGGAGGAGACACTTCTTTCTAAAAGTGACCAGAAAATGAAAAATATATTTTATACCAGCTAATTGGGGGAAATATTTTTCACGTGCCTCAGTTTTTGGTTTTATTTTTATTGATTGATTGATTTAGGTTCTTTTTAAAGTAAGTTTGTGTCTTGCAGTAGATATTTTTTAAATGTGCTCTGGTTTTAAGTCCTATTTAATGTATTTAGTGATGATATTTAGCATTGGTGTAATTTTCATTGATTCTGTTCCGATCGAAGCCTTAACATTCAGTGGAACTGGGCTTTGAGGACTCTCTCCAAATTGTCATTAATAACATGCCAACTAAAATTTCAGACTAGACAAGTTTGACAAGTCCTGTACAAAGCAGATACTAAACGCTTGTTGAATTCATGGTTTGAGTTAGAAAGCTCTCTAGATTTCTTTCTCAGCCAAGATCTATGGAACACCTTCCATAGATGGACACAGAGCTAAACTCAGCATGACAGGYGTAGCTCCTGTCTCCAGGGAACTGAGCTTCCTGAATGAGAGTGTTGGGTTAAAGAATCATTAAAGATAATAAAGTGCGAGCAGTGCTATRATAAAGGGGTAACCAGTGCCCTGGGTTCTGATGATTACTCTTAAGGACCCCTAGTATCACTTCAAGATTGCATGTCTTGTCTGCACAAGCAATATCACCAGATGGCCAGTGGTGAGACTTAGAACTCACAAGACACATCCTGGTGCCAAGCGATGGTTAATGCTGTAGATGGTCAGAGGCAGCAGCACAGAAAGCAGGACATGCAGAGGTTAGGCGTGTGGGCCATGGGAATTAGATACTAGGTCCCAATCCAGGCTCTAGCACCTGTCAGCTGAGGACTCACCATGTGGCTTAACCTCTTTGCATCTTATGATGCTCATGTGTAAGATGAGGGAAATGGTTGTGTCCACCTCATGGTGGACTCAGTGAGTTGACAAGAAGTTTAGAGCAGTCCTGCTTTTACAGAGCAACAACACTCTCAAAGTTAGGTGTTTTAAAGGAGGAAGTTTGTAATGTTAGAAGAGAAGTGTGTAAATAGATTGCTGGTCAATAAACGCAGGCTCAATACAGCTATTTTCACTAGCATCACACGATCCACGGCTTCTCAGAAAGCCATTTAACTTGTTGCCAAAACTCCAATTCAGCCCTACACATTGCTCTAGATGGGAGATTCTGAAGGGCTGTTTAAAGTGTGCTGTGGGCATGATGGACCCTGTAATTCAATTCTCAGGCCCTGGAATTTTTTCCCCTCCTTCAACTGATTGAGACACTGGCAGATCTTCTTCTAATAATGTTGCTCTGATGTTGGTTTGTGCTTAGATCCCGCAGCTGGTAGCTGTAAAATCCCAGGGTCCTGCCTTGACCGCCTCCCAGTCAGTGCATGAGCAGCCCACGAAGGGCCTCTCCGGGTTTCAGGAGGCCCTGARCGTCACCTCTCACCGCGTGGAGATGCCACGCCAAAACTCGGACCCCACCTCCGAAAACCCTCCTCTCCCCACTCGTATTGAGAAGTTTGACCGAAGCTCTTGGTTACGACAGGAAGAAGACATTCCACCAAAGGTAATGTCACCATCGTGCCACCATCCCCATCATGATGGTCATGAGCACACCACCACTGGTCCACCATGAAAAGCCTGGTGATGCTGACTTCCTCCCTCCTCATGCTTGTCTTGGTCCCTCCTCATTCCCAAGCTGCGACTTGGATTATCACTTTTCATTTCTGACTGTCATCTCCCCAAAAGAGCTGAGACTCAGGTCAGTTGATTGGCTTAGAAGTATGTGTCCTGTACCAGAATTGGCGCTCTCAACCCAAGCATTCCAGACCACTTTACTATCCATATTAAAAATAGAATAATGGATATTTCCAATGATGACCACATCTACTTGTAGACAAGTTGAAAACATCCAGATAAAAAGTAGAACATTTATTTAATGTAAAACTAGATTTCAGGAATTCAGAAGGTGCTATTTGCCCTTGCAAACTTCTGGTTGGCTCCATGTAAGGACAGCTTCTTCTAGGCTAAGTCACAATTCAGTTCCAGCCCTGATTAATTACTAAGGATGAAACTTTAGGGTAAAATACCAGCCTTTCCACTGGACAGAACAGTCCTGAGTTCGAGTTCTTTTGTTCTCCTGTACCAAGTCATTGTTAGTTCCCAGAAATGTTTTGGACTGGGACTGTAACGGGCTACAAACAACAAGATGTTTTTCAAAATACTGAAAACATCTTTATATTAGTTTCTTCCTAGTTCAGGAATCCCCTTTCTCCTGAACTCAGTGTAGAGAGCTGTGACAGATACATGGAATGACCCACAATTTCCAGGAAACAATGCCATCATTAATTCTATGAAAAAAGATAGTATAATATTACAGCAGAATTCTATTATTTTGAAAATGAAAACAGTTGATGATGGCTTTTTTTTTTTTTGGTGGTGTCCTCCTCTTGTTGAAGCAGAAGTACCATCAGAAAAGGTTACTTAGGAGCAAAGATTAATGTGACAAATGAGGTAAGTCAGAGAGACGGAAAGTGGAAGCTATTGGTCCACTCTAAATACATACAGCTGTGTATTTATTTGTAAAGGAGGTGGAAACTCCAAATTGATTCAGATACTTAAGTTTTAATAATTAAATTAGACTCAACTCTTCCAATGTTCATGTTTACGAAAAGAAAAAGGGAAAATAGCAGTAGTAATATTTAACTTGAATGGATGGTAGCACCGCTGTGGTCACTCTCCTTCACTTCCTCATCTTTATATTAAAATGGGCTGTAATAAAAAAATTAATTTTTCAAACAGAGGCTGACACTTTACACTGAAAGTCATTTTCTACACTAGAAGTCATAATGTGACTCTTTCAAACCGTGGACTCCTTTGGTACTCTGACAATATTTGATTTCATAAAAAAGGGTCTGCATGAGTTTCATCAAAGGAGACATACTTGAATCTACCTTGAGCTTTTCCCAGATAAGCTAATAACTCATTTTCCTGCTGTACCTCACAGTCTCCTTGGTATTCACACAGACTTTTTGATGGCCCTTTCAGTCTTCAAAAAGTCTTCTGACCTGAGGGTTTAAATGGTAATTGCAGGTTAATTAGCAAGTGGAAATTTCYGGGAGCCATTGTATCAGGTTCTCCAGTCTCACTGAAATGACTTAATGTCCTGAGTTCTAGCCTGATATCCCAGTTTCTCTGTGGATTTCATAGCCTGTTAGAGGTAATGTGAGCTAAAAATGGAACTGGGCATTGTCTGGGCGGCTTTCATCTGATGCAGCCACCAGTGAGGTAATRGTACCCTGAAAAGGTTTCAGGAATCTACCACTCTTGGCCAAACTAGAGACGTTAATCACACAGAGCTCAGAAAAATCAAGACTATTAACTTAATCTGTCTTTAAGTTTGCTTTTAAGATTGGAAATCACCCTCCTTCATGGTTGCTGGTATGCTTCAGAGTCTTTGGTCTGCAGATCTTTGTTTGGTTTTATTTGGGGAGTTGAATATTTCTTTGAGGAACAAATAATATATAATTCTTCCATATTTCAGGTAGTTTCTGTAACTTCTGCTTATCATTATAAAGGAGTAAGATTTTCAGAGAGGAGCCTGTGGTCACTGTTTTCTGGAAAATATTCCCGAATTCTGCTTTTCTTCCAGGTGCCTCAAAGAACAACTTCTATTTCCCCAGCATTAGCCAGAAAGAATTCTCCTGGGAACGGTAGTGCTTTGGGACCCAGACTAGGCTCTCAACCCATCAGAGCAAGGTAAGGGAAGGAAGGTGACAAGTAAAGGAAGAAGCTTCATCCGCCATTGTCATCATTGCTTTCCTAAAAAAAAAAAAAAAAAAAAAAAAAAAAATTAAAAAAAGTCCCCTGTTTGTTTGTTTTTTTGCTTCAGAAGCTTGTTAACTTACCACCTGGACGTTAAGCATTGACGGACCAGACCACATGCCTCTTGCCACTTCAATAAATCTTAGAAAACAGTGTTACGGTGGGGGTCCAAGAATGAATGAGCGACTGGATGAGTGAATGAAGCAACCCAGGAGGCAGTCAGGTGTATTGAACTGACAGTTTTTAAAATCTAGGAGCAACATTGCAAATAGAAATCAGATTGCAGTATCCCGAACTGTAGCTTCGGAGTCCCATTTGAAGGGAGTCAGCAAATCAAAATGGTCTGTTATGAGGTGATTTTTAGCCTCCAGTCAAGAAATGAGCCCTGGGRACCATTGAGACATTACAAAACAACWGCMAGGAAAAGAGTGACCAACTGCAGAGCTCCTCCAGCCTGGCACTTAGGAAAGGACCAGCTCCAGTAGGGAGATCACTTATTGGGCATTGTTGAGGGTCTCTGAAATGCAGTTATGCTTTCTCCGTTATTCTCTGCTCTCCTTCCAGAATTTTCCATCAACAATGTATACTCTTATAGTCAGGAAATTGCATCCACTCCCACTGGTTAGTATAGCAGTCTCGACAAGCTAGAAAGTAAGCAATATCTTTGCAGTATCTGGGCAGATTTTATGTGGTAACAGATGCTGTTTGCTGCTGCCGTTCATCAAGCTTCCCTCAGATTTTTCATGATGAATACATTCCTTTTTAGGATCCACTGAAATAGCAAATGGCCTCTGCTGAGGCTATAAAAAGGATGAGCTTGGGCAGGCTGTTTTCTTCTCCTTCATTGTGTTCATAATAAGAGAAAGACCCTCCTTTCCTAGTAAGAGAAAGAGAGAGACTAGAAATGAAGCTTGCAGTTATTTGTACACATTTTAAAAATATGGAATGTTTTTGATCTTAACGCTTTTTCTTCTTCACATGAAAAGCCGTAGGAAGGGGTCAGTCCATAAATAAGATGAAATTATGCTAAGAGCAGCATGCATCCCTTGAGGGCAAAGATGCTAGCTCATTCCRAGTGGAATTACCAATCACAGGAGGCTCTGAATGAGCCATTTTTTTCTTCCCAGTGACTTGTCAGACTCACTCTGAGCTGGTGTTGCTAAGCAGCACCGAGCAGACCCAGACACACTGTGGCTGGGGAGCCAGAGGAATGCCAGCCCTGGCTCTCCAGCAAACTTCCTCCATCCCCTTCCTAGAGCAGCAATAAGCCCCCGATTGTCAGGGCTTCTTGCTCTTTTGAACCCTGCCCTTAGGGCTCTGTTCATTAAATCAGTTGCTTAGAATTGAGGTTTCTTCAGATCCAGTATTATTTCAACTTTTAAGTATTTTTCCTTCTGTCGACCAAAAAGTAAAAAGAAAGATCTACCATTATGTAGTCAAATAAAAGGCAGCTTTCTATTCTCTCCAAAGTGAGATTTTAATGACATTGGGGCCCCATCTAATCAGTGTTTGATGGTCAGATGATTATAAAATATGAGTTTTTACCTGGAACCACTTAAATATTTTTACCTTTTTTTTTTCAATATTTCCAATATTTCTCAAAAGAATGCATGAGATATGGTCAACAATTTTCTACTTAGGTAGAAAGGAAGCGAGCTAAAATGTAATAATTATTTACCTACAGTGGAAGAAAATTTGGGACTGTGGAGAATCCCTCTCTCTGCATGTGGAACAGTCCAATAGAACACCCCCATGTCTTGCTAACACATATCTCCATGTGACCAACATTTAAGATGTAAATTAGGTTTTGCATCTCCAGATTGGATTGCATTTATAAAAGCTTAAAAATACAGTTTACTGTATAGAGATAGCTCTCATTCACTTTTCCTGGRTAATAAACCACCCCAAAACTCAGTGGCCTGAAAGATAGCAGTTTATTTCGCCTATACCTCTTYTCCACAAGGTCTTTCATCTGTGTATCTTTACCCCTTAGCAATCTCAGAGCAGCATTCTAAGAGTGACACTCCAGTACACACAGATCTGTTTTTTGTTTTGTTGYAGTACTGTGCATCAAACCCCCACATAGTATTTTTTTTCCTTTGCTTCACCTTTGTTGCTGTCCCACTGGCCACAACTCTGAACCATGGAAAGGTACCACATAATTTCATGGACAGGGAAAAGTGTGATTACCTTGGGCTTCTAAACTGTATTTCTTATTCTTGGTTGATAGTCCTTCTTTTCTTCCCAGTCTTTTCTTTGAAGTGATAATAAGGGAAATTAAAAAATTAGCAAAATTAGAATAAATGCCAGTGAAAGCTATAGTTAATTAGGGACAGATTCAGGAMAYTKCTGTTATTATTTTTAATTCATTTGCTAAATTTAGCTAATATATATTAAGAATCTGCTGTATGCAGGGCTGCACACAGCCCTGGGACCCAGTGACTCCAACCAAGACTGCCTGAGTCATAGGGCCTACTATTTCCTGCTACTCTTTAGAGTACAGGTATAATTAAGGGCAAATTATATTTGTTTGCCTCACYTTTTTGTTGTTTTTCTTTGGTGTAAATATGTGAATTAGCTTATTTGTAAAAGGCAGACCCTCTCTCTTCTCCTGTGGCAAACTTACAGACCCCAAGTTTAAAATAACAGTGTTTCAACACCAAAGGATCTCAGGCTCCCAAGTTACCATATGGAGAAGAGCCATCAAGGAGAGCAGTTTGCCCTATGGATAATATGATGTGTGTGAGAAACAACCCATTTATGAAACCAATAACAACCACCAAAAAAAAAAATTGGCAGATTATAATGGTTAAGAAGCTTGGATTTTTAATATTAGTACTAATATTAAACAGAAACTGCAGAATGTGTGTTTTGTATTTGATAATTTGGAAAACAGTACATTTGAATAAAAAGAAAACTCCTTCGTATCCTTGAAGGGAAGACTCTTGGCAGTGTCAGGCAGTATGCTGACATGTAGCTGTTACAAAATAAAAGCAGAACTTTATTCTAAATACCCTTCCTTCTCCCAGAAACAACTCCCTGGTATTTCTTCTGCTATCTACGCACACTGTACCAAATCAGAAAAAGTCCTCTAGAGAGCATGCTTTTGCAGTTTTGAGCAGGTTTAGCTGTGCTGCAGTCAGTTGCTCAACCAAGTGTTATTGGGCAACCTTTGCAGGTCTTTGTTTATTTAGTGAACACCTCTGGAGCACTTATATGTATGGTATACTGCTCTAAGTGCATTGCAAATATTAAATGTTTAAACTCTATAGCAACTCTGTGAAGTAGTGACTGAAGTCATCCCCATGTTTTAAATGCACAAACTGAGATAAACAAAAGTTGAGCAAATTGCCCAATGTGATGAAGTTAATAAGGCGGTATTTGAATTCTGGTAGTCTTACACCAAAGTCTACTCTCTGAAGTGCCACTTTATGTTGATCACAGGACCAGTGCAGCTGCCACTGCTGCCTGGTTTTCCTAGGGGAAAGGGACCCTTGATTCATTGACGGACTCCACACTGTTTTTCCTGTTTCTCACTCTGGGGTAGATGAATGTGTTGACGTTCCTCCTAATCCTAAGATTATCGATCCTTATCCTGTGAGACTCAATACCTTGTAAATATCATTGTCTTGGGAGACGTATTTATACTCTGAACTCTTACGCACTCAAGCTGGAACTGGTATTGTCTGTCACATGCTGGTGATGATTCCCTTCCTAAATGGCTGAAGTCTTGGTGATCCCACAGTTCAGTGACCCCAGGCAACCATCCTGGCTCCTCTTTCTCCTGTGTATACTGCTGAGCATTGCTCAAGCTGCCAGATCCAAGAGCGGTTCTCACCTACCCTGTGGATAATCCTGTCAGGGCAATCAGTTGAGTTTAAATCAAGTTTTGATAACTAGATTGTTTTTAAAACTCCCAGACAGCTTAATATTTAACTTTGATTCATGTGTTCTTTTAAAGCAAATTAAAATTCGATCAAACAAGTATACTCAGAATATAAAAAGATTTAAATTGAGCCAGAAACACCCAGTCAAAACCCAATGACTAAAAGCTTAATTTCAAAATAATTCTCTGTCCCATCCCAAGCCTATCTTCTTATGACTTGTTTATTCTCATTGACTGTATCATCAGAGAACAAAGTAAAGTGAATTTTGGCAGCCAGCCAGTTAATTAAAAGACTTGGCCCAAGTACTTGGGCACAAAATCACTTTGTAATCCTCATTTTCTATTTTGACTTTTTATATGATTCAAGTGGATGGAATAATTGCCACATTTTACTTTACTATGTGTTTTATAGACCAAACATCATTATCTGCACAATACCAAATGTAGGAATTAAAAGTTAGCATTTAAAGAATTCTATTTGGATGTTTTCAAATTTTTACATGTTTAGATTGAGTAGACTCAGTAATACATGAACAAGAGAAATCTATTATTTAATGGAATCCTTCTGAAATTGAACCTAGAGCCTTTATCTCAGACCCCTTGTACCCAAAGCCAYACCATACATACATAATAAAGAAAAGAAAAATGTGAACAGTATGACATTTTCTCAAATTGCTAGTGTTTGACAAAAAAAAATAAAAATAAAAAGGTAGGAAAGCATTGTAAGTTCTCCCTTTTTCTATGGGTGGTTACATAGAAACCAAAGACTTCATTTAGTCTACCCCAGCAAAAATAGCAGCCTGTCAAGATCAGCACCCACCCTGGTTAGCTCCAGTGGGAGGACTTGTGCTAATGAGGCCCAGGTCAGGGATTTAATGCCCATGGGATCCAATTAGCTTCACATGGGAAGAGTCTCTGAGCCCCATCAGAGATGCATGCTCATCTAAACTGATTCTGCTAATGCCCTTGCTCTTGTTCTTCGCTGGGACAGCCCTGGCCCAGGCCTCACCATCTAACATGGCAACAGCCTCTCACTGTTCTGCCTGCCCTTCTCCTCGCCAGTCATGCATAGGCCTCCCTTGGGGGATGCACCTTCTCTGCCAGGCTTTAAAGGCTGGTGCCTGATACGGCTATAACCTGACCTTTCCTTCTGATCACCCTCCTCTCCAACTTGGCACTCCTTCCTGTTGGTGTCCCCTCCACACCCACATACACCTGGAAACCCCAGCCCTRGTCTTTACACAGGCTCTTTCCAGCCTCCCAGCTTACTGCTCCAAGACCCAGTCAAGCTCTCCCTCCTTCATCCCACTGCCCTTGACCCCTCCAGTCTGCAAGAATTGTTCCCCAAGCTCCAGCAGTATTTACAGCCTCTTTCACAGACAACATTCAAAGTTACCATGTTTAATGTTGTCTCCATTGTGTGTATCTCATTGCCACCATCATGTTGTAACTTGAGTGTTCGCCCTGTGACCTGTGTTTCTCCATCCCTCTTCCCAATCCAGTGAGACTCACAAAATAAATGCTTACTAGAAAGATTTTGGCTAAAGAGTCAAAGAAATGCTACATCTGTATACATATGTGCACTTACACATACCTAAATTCATGCCTTTCACCCAAGAATTCCATTTCCAGGAAATAGAGATATGATTTAGTATTGGTGTGCAGACAGATGATTATCTCATCATTATTTGTCACAGCAATGTATTGGAAGCACCTTAATATCTAAGAGCAGGGGATGGCCAAACTAATTCATCTATACAATGGACTATAATGCAGCCATTCCTTTTTTCCAAAACATAAGAAAATGCTCACAATGCAGTATTAAAAGCTAAAAAAAAGCAAAAATAAAAACTAAATATATGATGTGCTGCCATATATACAAAAGAAAAAAGATGAGAAGATAATTTACCAAATAGTGAAATAAAGTTGAATGTCTTCTTGTTCAGGGATTTTGAGTGTTGCTGCCTATATTTCAAGTTTAGTATAATGCACACAGGAAAAAGTCAAGGAAGCTTCCCTTTAAGATTCACCATCTCAGAGCTAGTGCTTTTAGTGTAATGACTGAAAGATTGAGTCAGGAGTTCATTCCCTGCATGCCCAGGAGCTGGCCAGGAGCTCCATGAGGAAGTCAAGCTGCCATCTTCTGAGACTCCTTCAGTGCATGGTATCTTGAGTGCCCCCTTTACCCCTTGACCTTGCAGACAAGTGCTGTACGGTGCTGCTCCACCAATGGCAAGTTATTTCCCCCCAGGCTTATTGATGAACAGCTGACAAATAAAATTTACACACACACACAGCATCAATGTGATGTTTTGAATCTGTATAAATTAGCATATCTATCATTTCACATAGTTTTCATGTTTTCTGATGAAAACATTTAAAATCTACTTCAAGTATACATTATTACTAATTATAGTCACATAGTGTACAAGAGATCTTCAGAACTTATTCATCCTAACTGAAACTGTTCCCTTTGATCAGCATCTCCCTGGTCTCCTCCTACTGATCCCAGAGGCCCTGATAACCTCGTTGCTTTTCAGAGTTGGACTTGTCCACATATGAGGAAGATCATGTCATGCTTGCTTTTTTGTGTGTCTGATGTTTTTGTGTTTAAAACACATATGTGACGGTGGCACCGGCCTGCAATCAGGGGCTTGGGGAGCTGAGGCAGGAGGATCACAAGTTCTGGGCCAGCCTCTGCAGATTAGCCAGGCCCTAAGCAACTTAGGGAGACCATGTCTCAAAAAAATAGAAAGTACTGGAGATGTACTCAGTGGTTAAGTACCTCTGTGTTCAATCCACAGTGTGTGTGTGTATGTGTGTGTGTGTGTGTGTGTGTGTGTACACACACATATACAAACATGTACATATACACAAACACACATATATATATATATATGATATATGGCCATATTAATTTACATTACCATCAGCAGTGTGCAAGTGTTTCATTTTCTCTGTATCTTATCAACACTTATCATCTCATTCTGATAATTGCCATTCTAACAGGTGTCAGGCGATAACTCCTTGTGTTTTTAATTTGGTTTCTCTATGCTTAGTGATGTGGAGCATTTTTACATAAGTCTGTTGGCTATTTTCTGTCTTCTTTTGACAGATGTCTATTCAGATCCTTGGCCCATTTTTAAATCTATTTGTTTTCTTGCTATTGTGTTGAGCTCCTTATATATTTTGGATACGGAACCCTTATCAGATGTGTGGTTTGAAAAACTGGCCAAGTCTTGAGGATGTAATCAATGTGCTCCACCACTGCAGCAACCCGGATCTCCGGAGAACGGAGCCAGTCTTGGAGAGCCCCTTGCAGAGGACCAGCAGTGGCAGTTCCTCCAGCTCCAGCACCCCCAGCTCCCAGCCCAGTTCTCAAGGAGGCTCCCAGCCTGGGTCACAAGCGGGATCCAGTGAACGCACCAGAGTTCGAGGTAAAACCTATCTTACCTTTCCCCAGGGACACTGTCCKTGGAGGAAAGCCACGGGTGGAAAGAGGGGTCTTTATTGACCCTGGTCCCGGTGTGGTCATCACTCTGTGACCCCAAATAGCCCYTTTGCTGCCTCAGTCTTCCACAGGGACTGGGTCACCATCCTTCATTGTGTGGACCAAATTCTTGCTAGTTTCAGGTACTAGTGTTTTCCAGAGAAACCGTCAAACTGTGGTCTTATTTAAAAATAGTTACTAGTCACTGAATTTCCATTTTTATTTGATTGCCTTTAGAATTTTATGTACCTCTGAATGTCCTGTTCCCAATGTGCCAATCATCCCTTTTAGAATTCTGAACATAGTTCATAATTCTAGGTATTTTTCAAAATGAAATTTAATAAAGACTAACATTTAGAATAAATACACTTGAGGGAAGAAATAAGATTTCTGACTTGAAAAAAATATATTTGACTTTTCTGGTTATTAGATAGGTAAAAATTAGTCTCTCTAAGCATTTAATGCAAATCATTCATCACTGTTTACTTTTCATTAATGGAGAATCTTATTGAAAACCATTAATATTGTACATGTAATTATATGTAATAATACATTTTCTAGCTAGTCAAAATTCACTCTGGATCACCTTCTGCAAAAGGTGATGAAAACCAGTACTTTTGAAGTGCATTTAATAAATATTTATATACTTATAAACCACTTTGTTCAATGAGAACCATGTCTTGTTTATTCTTTCTTGGCCTCTGCAGTGGAGACAACTGTAGTTTATGTCCTAGTATCCCTTTCCGGTTGTAAATAAATGGAATCGCCCTGTGTCCATTCTTAATAGCTTGGTGTCTAACACCTGATATCCATGTCGGTGACTTGGGACATAGACTGGCCCACGGCTGCCCCTATATACATTCTTCTGACTTTTGTTTCATAGACCAGAGCTATGTATGTCTTTGTGTCTGAACACAAATTTTCTTAACTTAGAAAAGTGTCATTCCCTTCTATTCACAAGCAACTTAATTAGAGCAAATACTAAAGAAAACAAAAATTATATATATCATTTTATTCTCTGACCTAGATGAGGTTTAATTCTTCATATTCTTTCCTTCAGTTCCTAGTTCTGGATTTAAAGTGTTTTTGTGTCCCTGGTATGTCCCTGCATAGGAAAGACCACTTTAAAACACAACAAAATATCTCTTGTACCCTGGACTGTGTCTTTTCTACCTATAAGCCCATCAACAAAAGAAAAGTTGGGAGCCTCCCCCACCCTTACCTCTTATTCTGGAGCCCTTCACTTTATCACCAACACTTTCCTACCCCCACCTCATTCTTCCTTCCTCAAAGGTCCCAGACCACTTCCAGTCCTGTTTAAAAATTATTCCRCATAAGGGTTTTTTTTCCCTACAAAATTCCATCCTGGTGAGTAAGTAGTAAAAGAGGAAATCAAGCATAGAACCTTAACTTGGAAGCTGGTTTAGTGTAGTGATGAAGAACAGAACTTGGAGAACTCAGAAAGAATCCCCACTTAACCCATAATAGCATCATGACTTCAGGCCAGTTGTGTCATCTTTCTAGTCTGCATTCACCTGTAATATAGAAAAATAGTGCCACACCACTAGGTTGGAGCAAGAATTAAATGAGATAATCGACACAGAAAGCATGGAGCCCTTTACCTGATACATGGGTACTCAGTTCATGATGGTGGTAGTGTGCTTGCTACAGTTTTTCTTATTATTACTACCGACTTCTAGGTTACAGGTCTAAATGTGTCTTCCTTATTTTGTCTGAACATTTATTATTTTTCCATGTATATGCTTGAGGATTTGCCTAAGTGAATGACAAGTCCATCCAGTAATCCTGAGGGGGATGAYACTCCATTGATGGCTCACCTGGGGCATGAGTCTGCATTTTTTGATGGTCCTGTCTCTCTTGACCCTCCGTTTTCCCTCTAGCCAACAGTAAGTCAGAAGGATCACCTGTGCTCCCCCATGAGCCTTCCAAGGTGAAACCAGAAGAATCCAGGGACATTACCCGGCCCAGTCGACCAGCTGTGAGTGCCTTCCTCTATGAGTTTTTAAACTCTTTTAATTTACCGGAGAACCCACAACATAAAGCAGTCGGGATACATTCATGATTATAATGAGCAAAAATTGAGATGAATAAAAGAAAGGATGCTGGGAATGTCCAGAGGGAAGGGATACCTGATTTAAAAAGAACTGAGCAGATCTCGGATTGTGTCCTCTGCCTTTGAATGTTTTGCTGATCATCAGTGCTTCTTTAGAGAGTAAAGCAGTAAGAGGAATAACTTGTGTCTTTCCATAATTTCTGCTCAGAAATGGCAAAAAAAGATGTTGAACTAGCAGTTAAGGATGCTCGAGCACTTACTATGGATTTCTCTTATCTCTTCTGCTCTTTCTCATATTATTTTCCATATGAATGAACATTACAGTTTTTCTGCTACTTTTCTTGCCTTCCGGAGCTGTTTTATGGATCCAAACTTGATAAGCATGGTGTGAACGGGGACCTAACAATTTGAAATCCAGCATCATTGCTGGACACCATGTACACTTACAGAAAGAAATAAGAGCATGCAGGCTGAAATTTGAAAGTGGAAAATTTAATTGGGAAGAGTTACTATCCACCCAATTTATTTCARTTTTCTGAGACTCTTTTCTACAAAATGAATGTGAAGCCTTTTGGGTTTATTGTGTTCTTTTTTTTTTTTTTTTTTAAGATCTTAACGTAAGGAGGTATACTGAATAATACTGAAAGAAATGTGCATGGTCCTGGGTTGAACTTCTCTTTGCCTTTTGTCTTTCTTAGTTTTGTTCTAATGATTGCAATTCTGAGTCTAACCTGCTTCCTTTCTTCTGGATTTTCCCTTCTGTGGATTCTTCTGGATTGGGTCCCTCTTATCTCAGAGCTATAAGAAAGCTATAGATGAGGTTAGTATTACCTTTTCTTGGTCATACTTTCACAGAATGTAAATATTAAATTAATTTCCTGATGTTGACATTCAGAAGAGGCTGGGGGAATCACAGGTTCAAAGTCCAGTCTTCTACTGGGAGGAGAGCCCCTTCGATGGAAGGCAGCCTGAGACCTTCATCCCTCCCCATGTAAAGCTTACAGCCTACTCTCAGAAAAATGTCACCTTCCCAATGTTCCATCTGGCTAACACCAAGTGTTAGTGCTTTATTAATGGCAGAGTTTCTCCTTCCAGTACCTTCCAATAGCAAACCTGTCCTCACCAGTCTTGCTAAGAGATGGCTCTCTGGTTAATAAAACCGCTAAAAGAGAGAGAGAGACAGACAGACAGACTGACAGACAGACAGACATCATTCCAGGGCACTCCAAATTTATAGTGTGTGATTTGTGAACAAGGAGTTACTGAGTATTGTTAGATTAATTCTGTGGGGCATTAACAAGAGCATCAGCAGCAACATCAATTTTAGTTAATGAATCCTGGTGAGTTAAGTGACTTTATTTCCTTATCTGTGGAGACATTTTTCCATTAGAGAAGTATATGGCTTTGCCAATCGGAGGTAGCTTGCTAAGAAGGATGACTGCCTCACTGCTGWTTGTCAGGCCTGCATGAGTACAGCATAGTGGGATTTCTTTTCAGAGCCAGACCTTGCAGAGTCCTCAATGCATGGAATCTGAAGTCTATCCTGATGGCTTTAAGGCTGAACCTCTGCTGAGCATTATTTTTGTGAAATTACATGGAAAAAGCACTGGCTTGGGGGATCAGCAAGCTGCATTTAAATCTTGGCTCCCCCAGAAAATAGCTGGCTAGTATGAGTCTCATAACCTCTCTGGGCCAGAGTTTTTTCATCTGTAAAATGAGGATAAAAACACCTGCCCAACCTCAACTATGAGATTGTTTAGATCACTCAAGGTCATGTGTGTAGAAGTACTTTGTGATGCGTAAAACCCTATGAAAAACCAAGAAGTTGTCATGATTGTTAGGATTCGGGCCTGAGTCATAGAGCTGGTCTCAAGTGGGAAGAGCACATTTCTATGCATCTGGGCTTTACCAGATAGCCTCGCTTTTTCAGAATTAGGACAATCTCACCATTCAGTGATTTATAAAGTTATCCTAGGTAAAGGATTATTGTTTATAAAGGAATGAGCCTCTACATGTCTACCGTGTGGGGATGGTATTTACGGAGAGGGAAGAGAGGAATATTCTTAATGGCTCTCTGCCAAGGCCTTGCCAGATCGTTTCCCTCATAATAGTGAGAAGAATGGGAAATTGTCACAACTTTTGACAATTTTTTCCCAGAACAGGTGAAGAAAGAGAATTATTTTCTGATGCCATGGTTACCAGTAAAATGGTTGAGTGTTTATGCACAATTCAAGGCAATTTTATGAGTCCCAAAAAATGGCCTAGGAGTGGCTCTCATGTGGGACAGAGCTCTAGTGGATTTCATCTGGTTAACCCTGGATATTTTAGACTTTCCAAATTTGCTTTATTTACCTGGGTGTATTCCACCACATTGGACAGAGATGGAAAGAGGCAACAGAAGTATAATTAATTAATTATATAATTAATTAGAAGGAACTGAGGCGATGTGAACCATACACCAACATCTCTGGGACCATGTGTAGCTAGAAAAAGCCCCTTGGGTGACCCTGTCAACCCCATCTCTTGGGTATCATTGATCCAAAGMACTAAAAATACTGGATTACTTGACTCTCCCTAACTCTGTTGCTCGTAGCTGAGGACGATTCCTCCACTCCACCACCCTTAGGAGACAGATTTGGCTGTCATATTGAGGGCAGAAGGCACTGCTACCAGATAGAGCAGAGGGATGCTACTAAAAACCCTATAGTGCACAAGAGAACTTCCCACAATAAAGAATTATCTGGCCCAAAATGTCAATAGCGCCACAGTGGAGAAACCTAGAATTTAACTAGAGCTAACCCTGACCCTTCCTTCTCCAGTCCACTGGTTTCAATATGGCTTCCTTCTCAGTGACTGTTCTGCCATTTAGATAACTGAGGGTTGAAATGAAAAGTCTTAAACTCTTGTTTGAGAACTCGTTACTTTTTAGTGCTGATTTAATGGTTTAATTTTTCATAAAAGTCAGTCTGGGAAGTATTCATTAATTTTACATTACTTTCTCATAAGAAAATGACATTTTTACAGCCATAGTCTGTGATCACTTAGTACAGCCTTTGAAAATAAGTACTTTTTACTTTTGCGCAATCACGTATTTGACATGCAGATTATTTGCATAAGCAAACTCTGGCTTTGCCACCATTTTTTTTTTTCATTAGTATACAGGAATCTGAAAAACTCCCAAGCACATTCTTAGATGGGATGGAACTTGAGAAAGAACTAATCATCCAAACACTTTTCTTCAGATGAGTATACTGAAGTTAAGTGACTTAGCCAGTGTCATATCTTTTGATTTCCTAAATAGGAAGTAATTTATTTTACTACATAAGGAAAAGACTAGCTTCAGTTCCTTAACAATATAATGGTTAAAGAAGTTGGGCTAAAATTTTAATGAACTATATTATTTCCAAAAAGAGGCCTAAAAGAATACCTTTCTATCTTCATATTCACTTCATAGTTTAAAAAAAAAATCAACCATTTTTCCATATTTTTTTAATACATTCTCGGATTTTTTTTGGTAAATAGTTCTTTTATTTCCCCTTTTTAATACCTTTTTAGCATCAGGCTTGACACAGCCATGCAATAAATTACCAGAAAGTCTCATTATATGAAGAATATTGTTATTGTCTGAGAATAAAATGTATGAAAATGGATCTGAACCCAGTGGTGTCAATTTTAGATCTCGTCTATTTTCTAGAACTTTGTTATTATACATTTTTCCATAGTAGACGGCTAAGAAACAAAATGTCAGCTGAACACACAGGCTGTTGGTGTGGAGAATTAATTTTCTTTGACTGGGGGTATTACTTTTGAGTTACTCATTAATGTTACCCTGAAATTTTCACATATGCCTCATCCTCCAAGCTGTTACCAATTAAACTTAAAAGGAATTTGCAATTATTTCTAATGTTTCAGGAAGGAGATTTTTAATAACAGAAACAAAACAAATTCTGATTAAAAGCAAAATTATAAAGCAGGTCAGAACTTTAAAGTGTTTCTAAATAACAATGTTTAGGAAGATGTAGGTCATTTTAACAAGTGAAAGTTTCTTGAAATCAATGGGCTGTGGACTAGCTAAATATTTCTAAATAATTTTGATTTTTCTAAAATCTCTTTTAGTTGTGTTTTGAGGTGTCAAAATAAGCAAAAGTAGGCCCTGGGGGAAAATGTGCTTTAATTTAAGTAAGTCATAGCTGATAGTATTATATTTTACTCAGAATTATTGATTTAAAATAAACTCTTTTAAACCATATTCTCTCTTTACACTATAATAAAATGTAGTTTTTAATGACAAGTAACATTTTAAATTCTAGTTACATTCTTTGATGAGTCTTAACAAGGTCTTAACGTACTATAATCAGAACACAAAAGAAATCTATCTAATTTGTTATCATTTTACTAGTTTGGAAGATTATAATACCCTTTTCCTTTCATGGCTTTAAAAAATATCTAGACACTATGTTCCCATTGTATTCAAGTATAGTATACTCTTCACTTTCTTTTCCATTTGATGAAAATAGGCATTAGCAATTACCAAGAGGAAATAAATAAAAAGCTGAAATGTGCATATGAGCTTTTCCTATTTTGGCTCATTGCCAAAGAAACCCAAAATAAATTTGCACAAAATTCTATGTGTGTGGTAGTTTTCCTCTTCCTTAATAGTATGCATTTTATTTAAACACCATTGAGCCTTTTTAATACAATTCTACTTTCACTTTCACAAATGGGATAAATTTAAGTGCTGAGACTGAGGCTATTTTGTTTATGCAAGTGTGCTTGTATAGAAAAGCCCTTGCAAGGCTGTTTGTATATATAATGCACAGTTAGAAATTGCAGAAGCTTCCCTTTTTCCGAGGGCTCCAATTTGACTTCAGGACAAATTTTAAAGTCATCATTGCTTCCCCTTTGATTTTTATGAAATTAGAAAGAAATGGCTCTTTCACTTAACACCTTGAATTTCCTAAATTTCAACCGAAACGCCCGAAGTGTTTCCTCCCCTGGTCTCACTCAAAATAGTCATCCCTGGCATGTGGGTAAGCAATAGAGAAATATGATGGTTTGTAGTCTTTTCAAAATAAAATCATAATTATAATTCATACATGGTTATCACAGCTCTTCTTCTATCCAATTGGGAGAGATTATGTAATGTCATTTAGGTCACCTAGATTACTCTAATCCTACTTCAGGTGAATCGAACAAATACATTTCTGGAATGAAATAAAGAGAGAATATGGCCATAAGAAAATTGTAGGATTTAGTTTTTTTTTTTTTTTCAATGAGTTTCTTTCTCCCTAATCCCCTGTCTCTCACTGAATGCTCTGATTCCCACATGGGTCACTAAATAGGGAGAAATGGTAAGACTGATGTCAAATTGCTTTTTCCTCATTTGCATGCTGTGTGCCATGGGCAGTTTAACCCATGCAAATTAGAGCGGCCATGCTTCTGTAGAACTGCTTCCCTCTGCATTGCTCTGATAGCATGCCAAATAAAAGGTAGTCAGATATTCAGCACACTGCCTGCAGTATGCCTGGTGATTAAATCCCACATCATCACATCCATAAGGCTAAAGGTTTCATCATACTCATGGAAAACTGAAAAATTCTCTCTTCCTTTTGGTGTTTGCACATCCATTTCAGTGTTCTTTGCCAGGGTTCTGCCAGGTGACTGGAATTTAAAACTTGAGACAGTGAAACACCTATAATTCTGGAAGAGAACTCCTTTTCTCCTTTTTTTTTTTTCTTTTTCTTTTTTTTTTTCCCCYTTGATTAACTCCACTCTGTGGCTATCAATTTTGATGGCTCTGGGCTTTGGGGTGGGCCATCATTTGATGTGGTGCCTCTGCTCTCCAGGGAATGATCACACACCAAATGAACCTTGGGAATCGCTCTGTTCTATGACTGATGCTAGATTTTGGTCCAGCGGTGATTGTAAGAAAGGAAAGGCCATCTATGGCTTGGGTGGGAGTCCCAGCATACTGGGGAACCATTTTTAATCCCATGTATTTTCCTCTTAACTCTGAGGGTGACCATCTTCACCTTCTCAAAATAAAATGAGAGCACAATCTTGTATGTATGTGTATGCGCATAACATGGCCTACACACACATGCACCTGTCTATTCAGAACGGGTCAGTCTCGGTCTAGCTATTGGTTTTGAACAAAGTTTAAAGTGATTTCATCTTTCTTTTCTAGCTTCTACACACCACAAACATCGTTTTCTTAGTTCCATGCAGTAACTATGTTTGTCACAGTTCTCTATAGAGCTTTTTTCTTTCTTTTTTTATCCCCCCCTTTGTTGCTTAAGCTGGAGCACTAACTTGCTGAGAGATGTGGCTTTGGTCATGTCTAAAATTCATACGCTGAACAACCTTTCTTTTGTAGGATCTGACGGCATTGGCCAAAGAACTAAGAGAACTCCGGATTGAAGAAACAAACCGCCCCCTGAAGAAGGTGACCGATTATTCCTCCTCCAGTGAGGAGTCTGAGAGTAGTGAAGAAGAGGAGGAAGACGGAGAGAGTGAGACCCACGATGGGACAGTGGCTGTCAGCGACATACCCAGACTGATGTAAGAGAACTTTGGGGTTTTTTTTATTTGTTTGTTTGTTTTTGAGGTGGGGTCCTTGCTAGGTTTCCCAGGCTGGCCCTGAACTCCTGGGCYCAAGGGATCCTCCTGACTCAGCCTCCCAAGTAACTGATACTACAAAAGTGTGTACCACCATGCCCAGCTCTAGACTACTTCTTAAGTGCAGACCAGAAGGCAACTAGGTCTCCAAAGCTAAAGGACAAAAATAGGAATTAAATATAAATCGTAGATGGAGTACTGGTAAGGCAAATTGACTTTGGAGTTTGGGGTTCTTATTAGAACATAATATAGTTATGTTCTAATCTCTCTCCATAGACATAATCACTTAGAATTTGTACATTTCTAGAACTGTGTGTCCATTACCTTCCCATGGCTATGGGAAGGTAACATATTCCTTTTGGTGAATTTTTTCTTTTCTTTCTTTTTTTTTTTTTTTTTTTGTTTTTTGTTCTTTTCATCTCTAGGACAGACAGTATTGTCATTGGTGCAAGCCTTTCTCCCTAGAACTACAAAAGAGAGTTTGTGAACAATGGCATTTAGGGAATAAAATGAAAAAAGAAATGAGACATCTATTCCATTGCCACCACTGCCACCAGTAAATAAGGATGAATGTACATGGCATCCTGGGTTAGCATCCCACTGACAGAATCAGGAGTCACACAATCAGGGAGAGAAACTTCCCAGCATTTGGTTTGATATACCTTTAAATCTTACCCTTAGGATTTTCTACGTCATCACCTTCATTGTCTGTCTTCGCAGTCTTCCTTTTGACTATATCTATGCCTGCCATTATTTCCCTTAGTAGTTATAGCCTTTACTTCTTTTTTTTTTCTTTTTCTGTTTTTTTAGCATGAGGAAGGGGCTTACTGTTCTTTCACATTGGAGTGAATCCCAGCGAGATATCCCCATTCTCTGTTGCTTCCCCATCTCTTCTCCTGATACACACAAGGTCTCATTGCCCTGGTTTACCAGAACCTTGACAGAATGCAACACTGAGTTTTCCAGCTTCACTTTTCCTTTCCAGTCCTGTGACTTAGCTATCAGTATTGATCACCAGACCTCGCTCACTCTTCTCACTCTGTATTGAGAAGATGCCTCACGGCCACAGGTCATTGTCCTGTTCCAGAAGGATGAGACACAGGTCTGGTTAGCCTGCAGGAAATGCCATCCATTGTTTCACTTTTGTTACATTACAAGCAAGTCTGAGAGGCAAATCCAGTTATTATTGCCAAAAATCTATGCTTGGTGTTTTACTATTGATTACCCAGTTACCGACAACCATAAATACACTAAAATATGATATTTTGAAACATTGTATTAAATTGCTTTTTTTAAAACAGCAAATAATATTGTTCTAGAGGCAAAATCACTATTCTAAAACATTTGTGCCAAACAGGCTGGCCCTTTCGGGTTTTATCTTGATTCAGCATTAATTCTTCTCACAGATGTTCAGAATTCCCTTTAAGCACTAAGCATACACTATCAGGATGAGAGCGGATTATGAAATTAAAAGATTGTTGAAATTCCCATTCTATGTTCGACACCATGCTGAAGGCTTTGATACACTTGAGAAGTATGTACACTTGTATTTGACCTTCCAAAAGTTTATATTCCAGTTGGACAGAGACCAAATTATACATGGACAACTGCAGGTTAATATTAACATTTAGAAGAACAACCAGGGCTGGGGCTATAGCACAGTTGGTAGAGTGCCTGCCTCATATGCACAAGGCCCTGGGTTCAATCCACAGCACCACAAAAAAAAAAAAAAAAAAAAAAAGAAAAAGAAAAAAAATAGAATAACCCACAAGATAGTTTATGAGGAAATGCTAAAAAACATTTGGTTGTTGTTTTTTTTAATAAACAAAGGAATTTTTTAAATTTATTTTTTAGTTGTAGTTGGACACAATATCGTTTATTTGTTTTTATGTGGTGCTGAGGATCAAACCCAGGGCCTCTCGTTCTAGGCGAGCCCTCTACCGCTGAGCCACAATCCCAGCCCATAACATTTGGTTTTAAGCCCCCCACCCCCCACCTCTAGTCATATTTTGCAAAGCTATGTATAGTGTTTGTCCTTGTCCCTCTAAAGGCAGATCTGGAATTCCGCTCCATCCCCAGTAGCAGAAAACCCACCTTCCTGCAGTTCCCCATTTAGACCAGGCTACACTTCTCTTCTGCTGTCTGGCACTCTCTTGTCCCTTTAGAAGTCACTGACTCACAGCCCAGCTTGCAGAGGTAGAATCCATACAGTCTTCTGAGCTGCCACTGCATCTCATGTTTATTCCTGCATTTTSTTTCTTTCTTTTTTTTCTTGGTATCAGGGATTGAACCCAAGGGTGCTTAACCACTGAGCCACATCCACAGCCTTTTTTTATTTTTTATTTTGAGACAGTTACTAAAAACCATAAATATGCTAAAATATGATATTTTGAAACATTGTATTAAATTACTTTTTTAAACATTGTATTAAATTACTTTTTTAAACATTGTATTAAATTACTTTTTTAACAGCAAATAATATTGTTCTAGAGGCAAAATCACTATTCTAAGTTGCTTGCTAAGTTGCTGAGGCTGGCTTTGAAGCTCTGATCCTCTTGCCTCAGCCTTCCAAGCTGCTAGGATTACAGCTGCACCACTGGAATTCCTGCATTTTCATTTAGTGCCTGGAATCAGGATTATTTACCATGCGCCTTTCTTCTCTCTGGGCCATGAGATCCCTGAGCATGTGGATAGCATCTTACCCATCTTTCTACTCTGAACACCTTGAATGTTGTCTGGCACAGAATGGGTGGGTCATCAGCAACTATAAATTGCATTTAATCACACTGAATAGAATTTGCAGGTCTTTACTTCAAAGAGTTTGTAGCTTAATCCAAACAAAAGAAAGATATGTGTAAACAACTTTCTGCAGGATAGAAAGAACAAGGGATAGTATTAGAATTCTAGGCAGGGGAAAGAGTTAAGTAAAAGGCACAGAGGTTGAGTTTGATGGAAAGAGATGCTTAACAGTGGGGAAGGGATTCTAGAAACCAGACCAAGATGTGCACTTTATCATGTAGCCATTGGGAACCAGTAGGGTTTCTTGAACCAGGGAGTAACAGGATTCGTACTATGTTTTTGAGGGAGTTTGTTTCAGCAAGATAATTTGGGGGAAAAAAGATGAGATGCTAGTATTGCGATCCAGATGATCTAGTACTATGATTCAGGTAAGAAATAATAAACTGAAGCTACTGTGAAATGCTTATAGTGGAAGCAAGATTTCACATAGTTCTTGAAGAACTGGTAAATTTTATATTGTTCAATGATCATCCACCAAAGAACATTTAAAATATTATATATGTGTGTGTGTGTGTTATTATACATATATGTGTGTGTATGCACATATATATGATATATGATATATATTTTGGGGAAAAAACATACAAACATATATGTGTGTTTATGTGTGTTTACTCCAATCTGGTCAATGCTGTGGATGTACTTTAAATGGATATAAAATCGATGCTGTCTCTTCTTCTCCAGCATGATAGTTGTATGCCTACCAAATTTCACACTATTAAAAATCCATTATAAAACAGTTACTTCTTTAAAATAGACTGTTTTGAGGCTACAGTGCTTTTTTTGCACAATGTTACTACCTTTGTTTTCTTTTGTTAAGATAAACCTTTATAGTTTGTGCTCTCTATTTTTTCTTTTTATTTTTAATTTTATTTATTCTAATTTGTTATATATGACCCACAGTGTGCTCTATATTTTTAGAGCATAAAATAAAAATATATTATAACACAGTTAATTCCCATAGAGTGTAAACAAAAGAGCTTCTCAGAAATGGACCCCAGCCTTTCAGGAAAACAGCTGTGGATTCCAGTGTTTAAAGCTGTAGCTTTTTTCTGTATATGGTTTTCTATTTCCATATTTATTGTATAAGACATGACCTGTAGGACAACACAGATATAAGTTTGTGCTCCTTAACTAACCAAGTGCACTATGTCCCAATGCCTCATGCATAGAAAAATAATGAGTGGAGGGAAATAGACCAAAATTAGGAAATGATCATCTCTGGATTATACAGTTGTGAGGGACTTTTATTTTATGTATATCCCCGATTTTGTGATGGGCATGCACTACTTATATAATCAGGAAAAGAGAAAAGTTTCATAAAACAAGAAGAAGAGAAGGAAAGACAAGGCAAGTTGATTTGCATCACACCAAGCCAGCCACAGAGCATCCTTTTGTATTGTATTGGTATCTTCCCTCAGGTACCAGCACATTTCCAAACAGTACTTGTGAGGCACAGTTTTACTCATTAGGATCATCTACTGATAGCACAGTCAATAAATTTTATCGTCAACGTCATCTGGACAATGAAAACCACATACATTTGTGTCCATTCCTTTCTGTTTTCACTAAAGAGCCAACCTCCTGTGGCCTGCCCCCAGGCTACGGAGTGTCTCCCTTGCCATAAGTCCTCTGCCCTCCTAGTCCTTGTTCAAGGAGTGGCCTGGTTAATATTGCAGAATGGAGATTGGTCATGTCTAGCCCCCATTCCTTGCAGCCTTTTGCATTCCTGGGTCCTGTGATCACCCCTAGCACGCTCCAGCCAAACTGAGTCCTCATCAGCCCTTCAAAGACCTTGCCCTGTTCCAATAGGGATCATCCCTTCCTCTGTCCTTTCTCATTAACATCTTGCCTTTTATTTGAGTGTATTTGTGATCCTCTGTGCTCTTGTGGATGCCAACCCTTTCAGTTTCAGGAACCATATTTTGTTCAGCTTTTATATCCACTACCCAATGCCAAACCAAGGCCCTTTCATACAGCAGGTGCTTAGTAACCATGTATTGAATTGAATTAAATCAATACCTCCAGGAACACTTTGACAAATCCAATTAGAGGAAATTATTGTTCTAAACCTACAGCCTAATTACAGTAAATTTCCTGTAGTTTTCCTTCAAATCAGTGGAGTTTTTTTGTTTGTTTGTTTGGTTTGTTTTGATTTGATTCAGTTTTGTTTGTTTGTTTTTATTAACAGTCTTTATAGGATTTTGGACAACGAATATTTCCAATCCAATCTCTAGATTGGAAAAATCATTTTTAGAACAAAGGATTACCTTAACTATAAAATGTTACAGCTGTTTTAGCCTTAGTGGGGTTTTATAAATTGCCTTTYCCCCCTATTCTTAATAAATGTTATATTTTAAAATAGTTGTAGATTTACAGAAAAATTGAGGAGACGGTACAGGGAGTTGCCCTGTTATGACACCACCATTTTCTCCCCACAGTTTCCTCCATTGTTAGTGTGGCACAAATGTTATAAGTAGTAAACCAGTACTGATAGGTCATTATTTATGAAAAGCCATGGCTTATGCAGCTTTTCTTACTTTTTACCATAATGTCCCTTTTTCTTCCCAGGATCCCATCCAGGCTACCATGTTACATTTAATTACCATATCTCCTTAGATTCTTCCTGGCTGTGTCTGTTTCTCAGAATGTCATTGTCTTGATGAGCTTGATCCTTTTGAGGAGTCCTGGTGAGAGGTATTTTAGGATGCCCCTCTATCGGAATTTCCAAGGTCCCTTAGGTCAACTGCCTTCCCATCCCCATTCCTCCTCACTGAAGTGGTTCATTCATTTGTGATATAGTTAGATTCTCTTGTCACAGTTTACATTTTCCCTGGCCTCTTCCAACATCCTCACTGAGCTTTTAAAATTTAAATACATTAAGGCTCACTCTTTGTACTATAAAGTTCTATAACATATCTAAATAGATTTGTTGTTCCCCTGTTTACACATCCTAGTGAACCCAGTGTCAGAGTTATTTTTTTAAGTTATAAAAATGGCAAAAGTTACCATTGTCATTTAGGACTTTTCAACGTGCTAATAATTATCCTTATAGTTAATAATTCATCAATTTTCAGAAAGGATATATTTTGACAATAAGCCTGAATGAAATCTCTACTAGGAGCATTAAATAAAACCTTTGACCCAAGACCTTTAGTGATGTAATAAACATTTACTAGGTGCTACTCACATGCCACATCAGTGTTGTCATGAAGAGGCCAATACTAATGATATCTGATCATTGCAGGAGGGTGGACTTGGCTCAGTGGTAGAGGTGCACCCAGGACAGTGTGACAGCAGAGTGGAGACTGCCTGAACCATCCCCTGCTGGGATGGGTTTAGGGTTGCCTGAACTGCAACATAAAGGTTAAGTTAGCCAGGGGAAAGCAGAAGAGAGAAAAGAACCTTCTAAGGAGAGGGGATGGAGTAAACTCATCAAGGGTTTTATGGTATAATGTGTTTAGGAACCGACTCTACATTAGGGTTTTTAGGGTTGGGGGGACGGGGGCAGGATTTTATTTAAAATTCAGGTTAGGGAGATAGGCAAGGACCAGATAATGGAAGTCCTTTACACCAGAGCGAGGGGCTTTGAGTTTGTCCTGTGGTTCATGAGGAGCCACTGAAAGTTAAAAGCAGAAAAGTCACAGGGTCAAATTTGTGTTTGCAAGAGCTCACTTTTGCAGCTGTGTGGAATGACTGAACAGGACTTGGGGGACAGGACTAGAGATGGGGGAATCAGCAAAAATACTGTTGTTCAGGTAACAAAGGAAGCTGACCTACTGGGACAGTTACAGAAAGGACAGAAAATATTTGGGACATGTTTAGGAGGTAGATAGGAAGGGACTAGACTGAATGTGAGGGGTGAATGAGAGAAAGGAATCCAGGAAGGCTTGGAGTTTCTAGCATGGTAATGGCACTCCCTGAGATCACTAAGTCAGGAGGAAGATGATGATGTCAGTTGCCACCCAGGTAGAAATATCCAACAGGAAGTTGAATGAATAAGTTACTGAGTAAAGAGATTAGATTATTTATTTAGGATTATTCTGTAAATGGCTGATTATAATAAAGGTCATAGATAAGAGCATGCCAAAAGGTTATGCAGAATGAAGCAGAATCCTAAGAACCCTACGAACATTCAAGAAGAGCCTCTGAAGGAGACAGGTAAGGAACAGAGGGGTCAATGGAAAACCAGAGAAAGGTCATGATACAAAAGCCAAGAGAGCAAAAAGGATGTGGGGAGTGATCCACAGTTAGCCAGGCATGGAGGTGCACACCTGTAGTGATAGCTACTTGGGAGGCTGAGGCTGGAGAATCAGAAGTTCAAGGTCAGTCTCAGCAACTTAGCACAACCCTATCTTGAAATAATAAATAGAAAGAGCTGGTATGTAGCTCAGTGATGGAGCTCCCTTGGGTTCAATCCCCAGTACTGAAAAAAAAAAAAAAAAAAAAAAAGTCCTGGGGAAATAATAGCCTCTGTAAAAACATTCAACAAAAGTTAAAACTGTAGAACTTGCTATTGACTAATTATTGACACACAAATCAAATCCTCTCAGTAAAATTTAAACCTTCAGAACTGATCCAAATAAATTGAACTTGGTAAAGAGGATATGGATAAAAAAGACTATTAAACCTTTGCTATGAATTTATGTAGAAAAGAATTGGACCAGTGATAATTTTAGTAAAATAATGATGAAAATGCAAAAAGTAGGAATAGCTTAACTGAAATATGTGGAGAATTAATTGAGGAATTACCTTGCTGGAATTAGCTCTAAAAGTACTTTTTGCATGAAATTCATCTGTATTCACATAGTTCTGATTAAAATGTTTGGGTAGAATTAGAACATTATCTTGGTAGAAAAATAAGTGGAGCCAAAATACTCTCAACCTTTGGACTTCCTGGGATGGTCTATGGCAGCAAAGAACCTGACTGCTCAGTGTCAGCTGGCGATGGCCACCAGATCCACCCAGCCCCTGACAGTGGCAAAGGATGCCTGACTGATAAGGAGGAGGACGGACTCCTTGCCTGGAAGGCCCTTGATAAACACTTCATTCATTGATTTATTGGCTTGCCCAAAGAAGGATTTAAGAAGAAAAGGACTTAAGAAGAAAGGAAAGAGACAGATAAAATTAAATTTCAAATAAGTGAGCAAAGAAATCACAAGTTTTGAGAATAAGTCCGATTTACCCATATATCGATATACCAGAAATTATTACGATAATTTTTTTCTGAGTCTCTGGGACGCTATTAATAGCTCCTTTCTGGGTCTGAAATATTGAAAATGAAAAGACTTCTTTGAAATTTCTTCCCAAACACATCAGTCCTAGCCTGCGTTGAGTTYATTCAACCCCGGCTTAGTGATTTTTCCAAGTGAACGTCTTGCTGTATATTTTCTTGTCTGGACTCACGAGCTCTCTCATCTTTTTGCCTCTTTTTGATGAAAATCCTTGAAATATGTCTACTTGGCCACAGAGATGGCATAAATCAGGCATATTTCTTGCTTCTTAGAGTGAATATTTCATCAGGTCCTTGAACTTTCATTCCAGAGGCCACGGATATTTTTCAAATAAGAAACAATTAAAATTGAAGAATAGAAATAATAAAAAGGTGCCGTAAATATACCTGAGAGAAATAAACCTTGATCCCTTTCCTGTTTTTAAAATACTCATTTTTAAATAGAGGCAGATGTCAAAATAGGAAAACCAAAAATGTAGCCTTGAAACCCGAAACCTTATCACCTGCCAGGCTCTGGGTTTCTGGAGCTCCTGAATCAGAGAATTCCTGTGTCATGCGAAAGAGGCACTTCACAGATTTCTGAAGTCCAGGGGAAGCCCATGTGGGCAGTCATTCACTCCTTGTTGAGCCCTAGAGCTGTGCCCTGTGCCACAGGACATATAGGAAACTCAGTCTGCGCCCCCACAGAGGGTGTCCACTGAGCATGTCCACATCCTGTTAGCTTCTTCCATTGTGTCTTCAGCAGAATAACAAGAGAAAAAAAGTATATCACAATGTAGACTGAATACAGAAATTTTAAGAAGTGCTAAATACTGTTTGAGTTAAGCCATCCTAGTTCTTGGCTGCCCCAATGAATTAGTGTTCTTAATTGATGTCTATTTTTAATAAATAGCATAAAATCTATCTTATAATAACTTTAAGGGCTCCTAATATGTGCTATATGCTGGGTACTGGGTATATAATGATGAGCAGAGAGACAAAGACTGTCTCACAAATGTATATTCTAAGGAGACAGAGGAAGAAAATGAACAGAGAATGAGTTAAAGAATTGCACATTACAATGGGAACTATTAAGAGAAAAAGGGAGAAGAGAAAACAGAGGGGCTGGTAGAATAAGACATAGATGACTTAGGCTTCTTGGAAAAAAAAATATAATTTAAAATGAAATCAAATGAATGAAAAGGAGTCAGCCAAAGGGGGAAGAGCTTCCCAAGAAGCGGAAACAGCAAGTGCTAAAGCAGGTCAGGGTGTCTGCTGGTCAGAGATGGAGGTGAAGGTGGAGAGAGGTCATGAATAGCCTGATAGACCCCAAAGCCGACTGCAGCATTTTTTACATGGATACCAGAAGCCCACTCACTCTATCCACTGGGTAGAGAATAGGAGGGGACACTTCAGTCACCTCAGGGACCCCATTCCAGGCATCAGTGCACACTGAAGTTAATATGCAGTGTACTTAAGGCCACTGAAATGCACACTTGAAAACAGTCGAGATGGTGAATTTTAATATATGTATTTTACCACAATAAAAATAATTAATATAGACAGGAAATGGTATTCTCCCCAAATACACCTGACCCTCAGTACTGTTCCTTCCCATTTCAGTCCAACAGGGGCTCCGGGGAGCAATGAGCAGTACAACGTGGGAATGGTCGGGACCCATGGGCTGGAGACCTCTCATGCAGACACCTTTAGCAGCAGTATTTCAAGAGAAGGGACCCTGATGATTAGAGAGGTAAGTTGGTATAATAACTGTGCAGAGGAAGTGCATTTCTTAAGTGGTTTTTATATTAGAGCATTTACAGGGAATGCTTTCAGCATGTATTTTAAGCATGGGGAGTGGGGGGAAAAAACCTGTGCTTCTTAATGGTTGAGTAATTTTAATTGTCTGCTGCCTTCGTTCCTGCATCCTTCTGAGCTTTTGCCGGGTGATTTAATTACATTAGTCCAAATTCTTTGGTAGGAGTTATGCAAATCAGAATATAAAATTTGAGCCTCAGGATATAAAACCAAGGAATCCAGATGTTCCCTACCACAGGAAAGCAGAAATGAATGGTCTSTCTGCAGCATCAGTAGTTTTGTTTTTATCCTTGTGGATTTCTTATAAAAAAATTCTCAGTAGTTCCAAGAAGTAGTGATACCATCTTATCTCATTAAATTAACATTTTAAAAGCCAGTACACTATTTTGGTGAAAGAACAAAGAAACATGAAGATCTGATTTAAAATGTGCCTTAGCATTTTGGGTAATATTTTTTTTCTTTTTCTTTTTTTAACTCTGGGAATATCATTTCATTTGTTGAGAGGCACATGTGTGCTTTTATGGTCCTTCCAACATGCAGTGGCTCCCCACTGTGTCTGAACCAACCAGAAAGGCCCTGACAAATTAGAGTCACCTTTTCTTCTTTTCACTTCATTATTCACCATTGCAAGTTTGAGAGCAGGTCTCTACATGGAAAAAAAATATATATAATAATGACTAATAACAGTGAGCAATAAAATTAGACCTATCCTTGCATCCATTTTAACATCTGTAAAATTCATAAATAGCACTTATAAGATGGTTGAGGTTGTCACATGGGTTTGTGAATTAAGTGAAGTGTTCAATGAGGGTTAGCTATTTTATTTTATTTCTTTCTCTCTCTCCATAGACYGAATTCTCTTTTTACTTCTTTTCACAACCTACTTTTCTATGTGAAACATAAACATTTATCATGTGTCCTTCTCCCTCTTCAGCCAGGAGAGAGTTGGGAAAACCTAATAGCACACTTGACTCTGTAAAAAAGGCAGAGGGCATCTCACTTTTGTAAGAAAGAAGGGAACTGTAGTTTGGAGATGAATAAGGCCTTTGAAGTAATAATTGGCAGTAGGGCTATAACTAGAAGACTAGTTCACAAAGCAACTTGCTAGAATTTCATTTTATGGCCTTGTCGAATCTTTCAAGTAGGCTTTAAAGAATCCTTTCACGTAGGCCTTGAGTGGAAAATGGACTTGGCTACTGAGGTTGACATTGTGCAGTGCTGGTAGATAAATCTCCCAGTGTGGTGAATGGATAATTTCAATGGAAGCATAGAGGGCTTCTGTCACGATAGCTTGCCACTTGAGAAAACATGAGGGAGAATGTTCTGGACTGAGTTTCCCTTTAACTCCAAATAAAAGGATTCCAGTTTCTAATGTGTCCTAAAATTTACCTGCATCTYTATGATGGTCAGTACCTCCAAGTAGATATTTGGAGCACATTTTCAGGTCTATTGTGGGCCACCTCTGGTTGACTCCCTCCAGTATTCTATGACCACAACCAATCACCTTGAAAATTGCATTCACCAGTGTCTTGAATGAATTTGATCTACAGAGAGGGACCCTCAAATCTTTCTTTCCTCTCAGATTCTGTATTCTGCTTTTCCCAAATATAGGCTTTTAAAATAAAAATCTGAATTAATCAKGGTTCTCCAGAGAAACAATATTTATAGATATAGATTGATTATGAGGAAGTGGCTTATGATGATTAAGGCTGAGAGGTTCAATGATTGGCCATCTGGAAACTGGAGACCCACAGGAGCTGGCAGAGTAGGTAAAGATGAGATAAGATACCCCAACTCCAGTGTGAGGCCAGAAAATAAAAGAGGCACATTCTTTCTTCCTCCTCCTTTTTTTCTATTCATGCTCTCAGCAGAAACACTGATGTCACCCAATTTGGGGTTGATAATCTACTGCGTGTACCAGTTCAAATGCTAATCTCATCTCCAGAAATACTTTCAGACACTCATCCAGAAGTAATGTTTAACCTGGGTACCTGTGGCTCAGTCACATGGACAGGAAATTAAATACCACACAACCCTTATGTTAAGATCCATTAAAAGGACGAGTATTAAAATGATAAATGCAGGCTAAAGTAAATCCCTAACAAATAGGAAAATAAGATCTTACTGCAATAAGATTAAGCTTCGAAATCTCAACTGAACTTCTAGTTCAATTCCCCCAAGAAGAACATCCACAGCCTTCAGCTCATTTTCTGCATGTGAGTGGACTAGAGGGTCCCGTCAGTTTACACTGGCTCTGCCACCGCTGATCTTGTCAGATCCACAGATTCCCCGTGTAGCACACACCCCTGTCCCTGTGGTTCTAATTTTCCCATCCCACAGCTCCACAGAAACATTTTTAATCTAGTTCTAGAACATGCCACACCAGCTGTGATCTGCCATTTTGTCTACAGGAGGCTGTCAGCTGGACTTGCTGTCCTCCCTTCCCCATGGCTGCTCATTCTTCTCCCAGCAGAACCCTGGTCTGGCTCCAGGTTCCCTTTATCCTTGAAGTCCCCACTGGAACTCAGCGGGCCTCTGTTCATAGCACCTTCTTGGAATCAGCTGGGATCTCTCCAGTGTCTACCCACAACACTGAGCCAGAACACTGCCATCACAAGACCTCTCAGTCACAAATGCTATGGAAGAGAACCCACTTGAACACCTCTTAAGGGAAAAAAAAAAAAAAAAAAAGTGGAAGAATGGTAGATACCAGGAATAGGGGAGTAAAGCTTCCGAGGTCTTTCATGGAAAGACCTCTTTTTCCTGACAAACCAGCGTTCCCTCCCTCCTTCCCTCCTTCTCTCTCCCCGTCTCTCTTTCTCTCCACACCCCCCACACCTGCTGATGCGGTCACCTCTCTTCCCACCTTTGGAAGACATTCACCACATTCTAGTTCACCTACTGGCAGTGATTGGCCTGTATCTCCCAGGCAGGGTATTCTATATTACTGGGAATCTGGGCCCACTTGCCTGAAGTGTCCACCACTGGCCTACTTCTATGGCCAGGAGGACAGCCCCTTATATAGTAGTGTAGCCCAGAGCTCTTGGGTTCTGCCCCCAGATAGCCCAGATTTGAACTCTAATGTCACCACTTAGAACTCTTGTCACTTGGGACAAGTTAATTGACTTTCTTGTACTGTGATTTTTTTTTCCATCTGTGAAATGGGAATGATAAAAGCTAACTCTTGGTATTATTGTGAGGATCCAGTGGAATACTATGCACAAGGTGGTTAGCCCAGCTCGGTGTACAGAATACCTTAGCTCCCATTCCTATGGGAATGAGCAGAACATAAAGATCAGAGACACTGTTGGGGTTCTGCTAATGAGGTCCTYGAGGGGAGGGCTGGTGTTCATTTCCCTTGTCTTCACAGAGTGCCCAGCACCCAGAAGGTATCTAATAAGGAGGTTCTGTTTGAATGAACAAGGGGCAGTGACTCAGAAGTGGGCAGACTCCCGGGTCACTGCTTCCTCCTCACCATCTGGGCTGCTTCCCTGCTTAGCCTCTTCCGCTCCTTCTGTGTTAACTAATGTTTCTGCATCGATTTTGGCTGGAGGTTGAATGCTACTGTACGTGAAAGACTGAAAAATTATCAAGGGGCAAGGTGTGATTTATACTACTGGAAAACGGGGGGGGGATGGGAAAAAGCTTTTCCGTATTTGAACAGGAGTATTGGGAAGTGAGTGTGAAAAGCAGGGACACGAAGATATATTAAGACTGAACTCCCTAAATGGCCTCTAGAAGATGAAATGTTTGACTCTGGGAATAGGCACTAGTACAAGCTCCAGATGACCACTGTGTCAACATCAATTCAAAAAGGCCCCTCTCTGGGGGCAGTCTGTAGTCCAGGATTGTGTCGCCAGGAGACAGAGGACACTGGGCTTCCGGTTATTCCACAAGCTTCCCTGTGCATCAGTGGCCTGACCCTTTCAGGAGCTTAGGAGGCTGTTGAAATGCCRACTTTTACTTGCAGACAGGCAGGTACAGAGCTGGAACTGGAGACCAAGGAGGGCTCTCGAAGGAGGGAGCCAGGTCAACGAGATGGTCAGAGGATTGACATGAACATCTTTCCTTCACCAGCCCCAAAGAGAGTGTTCCAAGTGCACACTTGGTTTCACACGTAGTAGGCACTCGAAAGTGTTGAGCTGATGAATGAAAGAAAGAAAAGGCAGAGAAGAAAACCATCCCTTTGGTCTCCTCTAAGAATCCTCAGTGAGGTAGTCACATGTAAAATCAAAAAACGCAGGATGATGCCCAGCAAAGGGAGYGATCAGCAGGAGGGAGCCAGCCTGTAGAATGGCAGAAAACATCTGCAAACTACCTCTGATGAGGATCGACGACCAGGATATATAAGGAAACTCAAGAGCCTCCATAGCAAAAAAAAAAAAAAAGAACTCAATTAAAAAATGGGCAATAGCTCTAAAGAGACATGTCTCCAAAGAAGACTTACAAATGGCCAACAGGCATATGTAAAAATATTTATTATCACTAATCAACAGGGAAATGCAAATCAAGATCATACTAAGATATTCCCTCACCCTACCTAGAAAGAATGGTTGTTATCAAGAAGACTGATAGTAAGTACTGGAAAGGATGCGGAGACAAGAAGACTCTTAGACACTGATGATGGGGATGTAAATTGGTACAGCCATCGTGGAAAAGAGTATAGAAATGCCTCAAAAAWTTTWAAAAAAAAAAAGCTTCCATATGATCCAACAATGCCACTCCTGGGTATAAATCCCAAGGAACTGAAATTGGTGTGATGAAGAGACATCCAGTATTTATAGCAGTACTTTTCACAATAGACAAAAAATGGAAACCACTTCCGTGCCCTTCATCTGATGAAGGGTTAAAGAACATGTGGTACGTGTACACAGTGGAGTACCATTCAGCCATGAAAAGGATGATATCCTGCTTTTGTGACAAGATGGATGGAACTGGAGATCATTATGAACAGTGAATGAAATCGGCACAGAAAGAGAAGCACCACATGATCTTACTCATATATGGAATCTAAAAAAGTTGATCCATAAAAAATTAGGGTATAATGGTAGTTATAAGAGGCTTCGGAGAGATGGGGAAAGGATAGTGAATGGGCACTTAATTACAGTTACATAGGAGGAAAAAATAAAGAAGTGTAAGACTAGCCAGGCCTATGATACGGGCACTGGCTTTTGGGAACCAGAACTGTTTTTTAATCCTGTCTTCATCCCCAGGATTTTGGACAAAAGACTGCTCACCAGAGCAGTGTTTTCCAAATGAGCTAGAGCATATAACCCTGTCAGTAAAAATTTCAGAGCATCCACATAGAGCATGCTCAGTGGCTGTCCTGCTGCATGAATACACATATTATAAAGTACCCTTAAAAACATTAAAAGAGATGCTTTAAACAGTATTTCAAATGCTTCGCTAGTCACCGTGACTTCGTTTCTTTACTGACTCTATCACAAAGCACCATCGTTGCTTACGGAGGAATTGGACATTAATGATAGTGGATATAAATCCCTATTTTCAAACAGTCTTCTAGATCAGTTTAATGTTTCTTTGCAACCCCTGTCAGATCTGATTAGTTCATTATTATTTTGACCTTGTGAGTGACAAAGAGCCCTGTTGGGTAAGTCTGATCTCCGCATTTCCTTAGAAAACAGTTGTAGGGGGATTGTTAATATTGCTACAGGCCGCTGCTCCTTACCAGCAATATTTCAGGTCATGGATCTGGGTTGTGTGTTTGTTTCATGGTAACCTCAAAATATGGTGTGTAAATCCAATTAACCAGTAGTGTGCACACGAGCCTACACACACACACACACACACACACACACACACACACACACTGTGAAGAGAAACTTGCAAGTGTGGGCCCTGCTCAGCCCTCCATCTGGCAGCGTCCCTGTCTCACCACAGGAGACCCTCACACCACACATGACTGTCCCTCATGCAGGAGCATTAGGCTCGGGGTCAATGCATTTAGTAAATATTAGCAAAGCTTAATTTTTAAAAAATTTTCTTAAGATAGAAATGTAAATATTACCTTCCCACATCCCAGTCAGTCAGTTTGGAGTCCTTGGTCCCTGGGCTGAGTGAGGGGTGACATTGCTCTAGGGCACTTTCTTCCTTCTCTAATGACCGCCCTGTGTCGTGYTCCTCAGACGGCTGGAGAGAAGAAGCGATCTGGCCACAGTGACAGCAATGGCTTTGCTGGCCACATCAATCTCCCTGACCTGGTGCAGCAGAGCCACTCCCCRGCTGGGACCCCCACCGAGGGCCTGGGACGCGTCTCCACCCATTCCCAGGAGATGGACACCGGGACTGAAGTAGGTGCTAGGTTCTCTTCAAGAACGAGGCCTTGCCAAACTCCTCACAGTGTGTGGGTTGGTTTCTAGTATTCAGCTGTGGGTACAGATATTCAGGAGGAGAAATCATAGACGCAGAGTAGTGAAAAGTTTTCAGATATGGTCTGGACCAGTGCCTGTTTTTATAGATGAAAGTACTGAGGCTTGGAGAGGTGAAGTGACTTGCCCGAGGTGCACAGGTAGTTTAGGATAGAGCTCCTGTGCCACAAGCCAGTGGTAGAAAAAATCTGTTAGGCAATGCTCATAGGAGTCATTGACCATTTGCATGAGTTCATGGGGCATGGTCAAATTTCATGAATATCCCCATGAATCGCACCAAAAGCCCTTAAGTGTGTTTCTAAAGCCATGCACTGTGTCTTCTGACATTGTCCACATACTGAATTTTTATGATGTCTGCTTTGGATTCTAAAGTTATAAGCAGATAAGCTTTGCTTGCCCCAAGGAAAAGAACACAGGGCACATTGGAAAGTACAGCATCCTATTGCAGCTCTTGTAGCCAGTGCCAGCCCAAATGCAGCCCAGCCACAGTGGAAGGGCCCAAAGGCCACCCCTCCAACAGGAACCTCTCAGGTTGACTGTGTGCCCAGGGTGACATGCTGTGTAGACATGCTTTTACTAGTTTATTGCCCATTGTGTCAGCATAAGACCATTTGACCAACATGAGATTGCTTTTACTTAAAGATAAAATGTTATCTTCCAGGTAAGATATTGAGGTGCTATATGTCATCCAAAACCTCATTTTCTTGTTGCAACTCTTAGAGTCTGATAGTTGATGAAGCCCTACAAATGCAAGCTGGCTCATCAGCCACCAATACCAGGAGCAATTGAAGAGAAGCACACACTTTGGCAGGGGGGTTGGGTGTGTGCAGCTGAACAGATGGAGGAGTCTACAGCCACTGTAAAGCCCACACAAGGTATTATTAGCACTGTCTGTTCCTGCAGTATTTATTTATCCATTTTTCCTGATCTCCCTGTTTATTGAGCAGTATGGTATGGGAAGCAGCACCAAAGCCTCCTTCACCCCCTTTGTGGACCCCAGAGTATACCAGACATCTCCCACTGATGAAGACGAAGAGGATGAAGAATCATCCGCTGCAGGTAAGTGAGAAGGCCATGTTTTTTTTTTTTTTAGCAGCAAATCAATTTTCTTTCTGGTGTGGCCTGATGAGAAAATTAATCAATGCTTAGGCCATGCCTTAAAAGGAAGATCTTGTTAATTATTATTTTTGTAGGATTCCTAAAACAAATCTCTCTCCTTCCTCCCACCCCATCTTTTCTATTTTGCTTCTGGTAGGAATCCAGAGGTATCCAGGAGCCCTAGGAAAAGCTGTTCCCCAGCGATCTCTGAACTTACCACATATTTCCCAAAAACAATTTATGGGTACAATGCTATGCACGCAGTAGATATTTAATAAGTGTGTGTTGGATTGTGTTGAGTTCTAGATGTGCGCTTCCCACCACAGAGGCCTGGCTGACTTGGAGCCTGGACTTGCTTTCTGAACTTTTGTAACTCACTAATCATTAAAGTCACCATAGGCCAACTTTCCCATTGAGAATGTGAAATTTCCAAAATCAATCTTACATGCGTATATTTATAGGAGGTGGTGATGATACATTTAATTTTATGGGATTAATATTAATTTTCTAAACCATCCAAATAGTATCTGTAAGGCTGTTTGGCTAGTGAATGGGGCATGGTCATATTTCATGAATAACCCCATGAATCACACCAAAAGCCCTAAGTGTGTTCATAAAGCATATGCTTCTATGACTTACGCTTTATTCTACTAAAAAAGGAGTAAAATAGGTATAATTTCAGAGTTTCTGTGCCTTTCCTATAATACATACTAAACAAGGGGAAATCAGTGTTTTGAAGCCCCTTCACCAAATCTCCACTGGTTATCTTTTAAGATGCCATTGACTTTTCTGATTCTTTTTCTCAAAGCTCTGTTTACTAGCGAACTTCTTAGGCAAGAACAGGCCAAGCTCAATGAAGCAAGAAAGATTTCTGTGGTAAATGTAAACCCAACCAACATTCGGCCTCATAGCGACACACCGGAAATCAGAAAATACAAGAAACGATTCAACTCAGAAATACTTTGTGCGGCTCTGTGGGGTACGTCAGTACTTCTGTCCTTGTTCATTAATGAACTGGCCCTCAAACGTCAAATGCCTGTGGATTTTACCATGAGGAAACACTAATTGAATGGGAGGGGTTAGCAGCCTGGGACTATCTTGGCCTCCAGAGAAACCAAAAGCAGTGCTGTATGTAGAGAGAACCTAAAGCCTACCATACCTAAGGCCAAGGATGACTTCTATAGCGATGGGCAAAAGGCGACCACAGAACCAGCCACCACTTCTTTCACACCCATTGTGTTCCCACTGGGTGATGTGCCCCATATTCTGTCTCTGTGATCCCTGCAGCATCCTGCAAGGGGGAAATGGCTATACCTTCATTTCACAGCTCCAGTGCAGGATAATTTAGTGAATGCCCCAAGGCCATACCATCAGTAGTAAGAGAACTTGAAATGAACAACAAATGATGAGCCTTCCTTTTTAATTCGCAATTCTCATGGAAGTGATCTGCAGGTGTTAGCTGACCTCCCACTCAATATAGGCATGATGAGAGTCTATCAAAGTCCTGGTCTGGGTCACTGTAAGCATCACAGGCAGATCAGGACATGGCCCATCTGTGTCCATCTAGGCCCGAACAGGGCTACCATACCTTCAACTAAAAGCATTTGGGATGTTAGCAAGAAAAGTGTGCAGTCTGGGGATCATAAAGAGGTATGACAGCTCTGTCCTCTGGGGCTGAGACAGGAGAGCAAGATAGCCACAGTTCATATGGCAAGGCTTGACCAGTGGATGAAAGAGCAGACATGTTCTCAGAAGATAGAAGTACCAAGAAGAGGGGTTTCAAAAGGGACATATTCATGAATATAGTCCACTGTGCAGTGAACCTCTTGACAGATGTATGTTGTGGTGGGTGGATGATTGATGTCCTGAAGTATGAATATTTAGGATGCTGAACTTTACCAGAGAAACCACTTACCTGCCAGAGCTTTTGCAATCAGGGTGTCTGCATGCCAGGTGGGATGGACGAGCATTAGACCCCTGAGTGTTCATGTGACTCTCAACCTGTTAACACCCTCTCTGGATGTCCTGTTTCCCCAACAGGAAGCTGAGCCTGGAATGTAGGGGACATAAGAGAGTCAAATTTTGATTTGAGGAGGAGGAAGGGCTTTTGTTCCCATGGAGTATAGAAGTGGAAACTCTATTGGATGCCCAAGGTGGATTGTTAGGTTCCTGAGAAATCACTGCAGGAGTAAATGTGGGGTGAACACTGGGGAAAGAGAAGTGGATTATTTAAGGGAAGCCATGAAAGAGGCGGTTGTTACAGGAAGGGAATAAAGGGAAATTGTGCCACCTTCACAGCTGTGCCTAAGGCTCCCCTTGACAAGGTTTCTCTGCATCAGGTAGTCAATGGCTCGATGCAGCTACCACTTTATAAAAGAAAACTGTAATTCCATTACTAGAGGGACAGTGATTTAATTACTGTGCCGGAGTTTCTACACTCCCTACTGTAGTGGTGACTTGCCCATTATTTATATTTACAAAGCAGTTCCTTAGATGTTACGGGAACCCCAGATGCAGAAGGTCAAAGCTCACAGAAAGTCAGTCTTAGGGTGTTTCTTAAATTTGCAGGTGTAAACCTTCTGGTGGGAACTGAAAATGGCCTGATGCTTTTGGACCGAAGTGGGCAAGGCAAAGTGTATAATCTGATCAATCGGAGACGATTTCAGCAGATGGATGTGCTAGAGGGACTAAATGTTCTTGTAACCATATCAGGTATGTTACCAGGTCGATCACCATGGTTCCCCAGGTCTGTGCAAGTAGGAAAGGTAATTACCTCGTTTCTGAAGAAATTCAAAACTCTGTCGTTCCTGTCCAAGAAGCAGCACAGAAAGTGGTAACAGGGTGGCTGGCATGAGATCACCCATTGGGAAGCCTCTCACCTCTGCATTAAATCTGAGTGACACAAAATGTTCCACAAAAGCTGTGTGTTCATGGTGCTTTACCTCTATCAGGACTCAGCAAGGAATTTTTTAAAGATGCCTGCATCCTGAGATGGAGAATGTCAAAATGTAGGCTCCTGGGAGGAGAATTGAGTAAGCAGAAATTTCTCTGAGCTCTTCTCTTCTCCCACTTGTGGTCCATTGATACCTTGGGAAGTGCAGCTAGACCTTTGGGGTGACCAAGTGGGCAGAGCAGAGGGGACCAGTCATGACTGGTACACTCTGCAGATCTTCCGGGTTCCCAAAAAAGATTTTTCTTTTTTTTTTTTTAAGGTTGGAGATAAAAGTGAAAGCATTGTTATTTTATTTTTATATATATATATATATATATATATATATATATATATATATATATATATATATT